GGCGGGCTGGCGGACAGGCGGGGAGGCGTGTGGTTCGGGGGTTGACTGCCAGACAACAGCTTGTTGCCATTGTTATTGTTGTCGCCCATGGGGTTGACACACACGCATACACACAAACAAATTGGCACACACATTATACAATAACCATTACTCACAGCTGCGCATACCACACTATTTTTATTGTTTTTGTTGCTTTAATTTAAGCGATTTGCTTTGGGTTAATAAAAACGAGCCACCGGCTTGTTGTTCTTACCCCAAATCCCGACCGCATGTCATTTGCATGCGACATTTTGCATGAAATGTCAATGAAATGAAAATATTGCCACATATCAAATAAGTTGTAATTAAAGGCTGCCGCCGAAGAAGGGGCTGCAAAGGCAAGAACTTCAAGTCGATTTAATTAAATACAACGAACAACGAGCAAATAAGTTGCATTTTTATCTCTACTGTGCAGACATAAACCGCCAAATGGCAGACAGCAGGAACGCAGCTTAGCAGCTGCAGGAACCGCAGCCCAGACACGCACCCAAACCCTCGACAGCCCTTACGCGCACATTTCAAACTATTTACGCTTTATAGCCACTAATTTTCGTTTATAGCCAGCAAGTGTAAGACGCCGTAAGGGTTGCTGTTGTTGGTGTTGGTGTTGTTGTTGGTCTTAACTGGCTTGCCGCTGCCTGAAAAGTTCATTGAAATGCGATTTAATTGCAATTAAGCACAAAATTTATCAAACTCAATTGAACATTTATGCGGCAGGCAACGAACTCACAAACTATCCAACGTGCGCTGAGCTGTGGCGCCTTACACTTGGCTGACTGGCTGGCTGGCTGTTATTCCCTGCCATCCAGCTGTGCTTTACACACACACTCACACACACACACACACACACCCACACATACAAACATTTTCATCTTAGTTTTTAATGTTAAAGCGTCCTCTATTAGCCGCAGTTAAAAGGCAGCAATCGCCCGGCAATTTCAAGTCGAGGCACTCAAAATATCCAAGAGCGTGCTACAGAAAATAAAAGCTACGACCCAAGAATTAATGTTATTTGTGGTTACTGTAGTTGTGCGTGTGCCGCGCAATTGCACGAGCAGTGCCACGAAACGGTGCTTAAAAGAACAGTCTCTAGTAGTTTATAATAGGCCACCCCACCATATAAAAAATAAAACCCAAATCTTTTGCAATTTGTTTGACAGTAAATCAATAGAAGTAAATCGAAGCTGTTATAAGCAGCTACTGCAGATCAAATATATATGTTTTTTTTAAAATAGTTGTTTTATTTAAGATCTGTCCTAAAAGAACAATTATTACTGAAGCCAAGATAAAAATTTATAATTTAAAATTACAAGTTATTTGGAACCTCTAGTTGACTCGCACTGGAAGGTCAAGCGGCTGGAGAACAAATGTATAAACTGCTTTTTTAAAATTGATCTGCAAAGCGAGATGCCCAACTACATATGCTTTATTTATTTTAATTTTACAACTAATTTTCATAAAATGTAATTATTAAAGGATGTTTATTTGTTAATAGTTTATGGAGATAAGTTACTTTCATTAAAAAAGTCTACCTTTTTGAAGAGATCATATTGATTCGTGTAGGACCAAGGATATATTTTATGACTGAAATTGATTTGAATATGAATTTAACTTAAGGAATATGCCCGAAGCACAATATATGTTAGAACGCAGGATTGCAGTAATTGTCATAAATCGTAATTCCACACAAAAACATATCACTGTCGTCATTAAAGCAGCTAAAGAGTTATCTGCAATTCGCCAACCAATAAAATATAAAATGGCTTTCTGAATTTATCTTCTCATTCGATTTCTGTGAAAATAAGCTTTCTCTTAGCGTTTGCTCTTAAACGAGCTTACCAAACATACTATACTATACATTCCAAGCTATGGGGATGGTATTATTCAGCTTTTAAATTGTCCATAAAGCATTCCTGTTGCACTCTTTATTACTTATTATAAGGCAAGTTCTTCAACGGCGTTGTCCACTCACACACCCATCCATACACTCTTTAATGGCCCGAGTGCCATCACCCGTTTTCCTTTTTAAAAGCACCAAACACATTAACTTGTGTGAATTTATATCAGTCGTTGGCAGCACCGACTGCTATTATGCGTTCGTTAATTATTCAGACAAGTATGCGCCGGCCACACAGACATTCTATAACACCCTTGCCAGCCCCCGCACTCGTAACACGTTCTGCTCATAAAAATTGCACACAAACACACACTCACAGTTATACATGCATATGTATATGTATATAGAAATCTACATTTATTCAGACAGATATACACACACACGCCCCCTAACGACGCAACTATTGCGAGTAACTTCGCGCGCTTAACCTTTAAATCGTAATACAAATGTCTCCCTACACATCTTAACATTTAAGCATTGCTTCAAACATACATACACATAAGCTCGTATGCTATCTACTCGTATGTGTATGTGTGTGTGTGTGTGTGTGTGGAAAATCTTGACATTAAATAAATCTAACATCTCGTATACGCTCAGTGGTATCTTTAATACTTATATATAGAAAACATACAGGCTACATATAAAAAATGACGCAGACATTATTCACGCTATCATTGCACAGAAGGCGGCGCCTGGGATGGGGAATGGGGGAACGGGGAAAGAGGAAAAAGGACGAAGGAAGAAGGAGGGAGGGGCCAAGCAGCGTTCGTCCAAACTACCCATCCGCAGACAGAAACGCTTTAGCTTGAACGTATCCATTTTGGGGTTACCCTGGCGAACTGGCAAACTATGCTCCTATGGGTCTCTTTCTCGCTGCCCCGCACTGCTCATTGGCATATATTGCTAGCAGCAGGTGGGGATGTGGCTCGGAATGGCAATAGCAATGGGGAATGGCAATGGGAATGACGATGGGAATGTGTCCATGTCGTCGCAGTCGTCGTCGTTGTCCTCGTTGTCGTTTTGGCAGAAATTACTACAATTTTTCGTAAAAGGGAACGTTTGTCACACGGAGCGCAAACGAACATGCATATGAAGATATGTATGTATATATACTAGTATACATATATAGTTGACTATGTATGTATGTATATACATACATATATATACTTGTATGTATACTCATATATGCACGCATTTATGGCACATGCGACAGATGTGTGTATGTGTATGTGTGTGTGTGTGTGTGTGTGTGTGTGTGCGGAGGTCGTTTGTCTGTACGTCCGTCCACCGCAAAATGTGTAACCGAGACTGGCATTGATAGCAATATATGCGCCAATCTCCTGCATTCCATGCACTTTTTGGCACCCAACATAACCTCAAAAATATGTTAACTGTCTGCACAGTTGTTGCTGCCATTATTTTTTGCAAGTTATAGTTGTCTATCTGGTATATTTCTGCCCAGCTCGTTATGTGCAAAATGAAACTAAAGTCGCCGTAGAAACATGAATATTATTACGCACATATGTATAATTGTTTGTGTCAGTTCCCAGTTCTTACCTACAACTGTTGGCTCTTTAACTTCTGCTTTTTATTTGTGCCACAAATTTAAAACCAAATGTGCGTTTAACAGTAATTTAAATTCTTAAAGTATTTCGTTGTATCTTTTATTAAAGTTTAAAAATATTGTTTCACTTGAAAATTAAACACTACATATATCGAAGAACAACCGATGTATTATTGTAATAGAAGAATCTTTTTTAACTTCTTCTTTTATTAAGCTGTGGGAATACAATAATATAATTTTTTTCCCTACTACATTCTAAATATCGTTTATAGGACCATTGCCGAACTAAATACGAAAATAATATTAAACATATTTGTATGTTTCCCACTTGTATACTTAAACTTACTGATATCGATCACTAACGATCCTTACTTTCAGTTCCAGTTATCGCTTCGCGTCCCCTTCTCAAACTCCCTTGTCTGTCAATCCCCCTGCTTATATACACATCTGACCACTGAAACGTAATACATATGTATATGCACAATTCCATTTCCTTTGAATACCAAGTCCAGGTACCTTACGAAGAAGGGAACTCTTCCTACACTGTCGCCTTAATCGAATTATCATCATGGCGTCAACAAATGATTTCAACTTATGCCGCTGATGTTACTCTGCTGCCACTGCTGCTTTCTCCACTCTCTCTCTCCTTTTCTCTGCTGTGCTGAAAGCACACAATTTGTTCACTTCACTTCATCGCTCTGCCCGGGACTCAGTCAAAATGAAAGCCAGCACTACCTTTCAGTCAACAGTTTTTCGTTCCCTTCTTATTTTTTGCTATACTATATAGCCTGTATATATGTATGTATATATTTGCTGTTTTGCCAACGTCATTGTCGCTGGTCATTTTCCCTGCTTACTGGGTCCGCTCGTTCGTTCGTTTTGGGATTCTGGCTTTCCTTCCTTTTTCTATGTTTTGTCCATTGCCGTCCGTTTGTTTGAGGTTATGTTGGATGTCAGTTTGTTATCCTTGTGCAAATCCTTTTATACAAATGAAATTTGCGCCAAACGGCGATAAGCAAAATACAATAGTGCCCGACAAAGCTCGGACCACCAGCCAGTCACTTTTCGCCTGGTTTTTGTGGTTTTGTGCGACATCGCTCGCTACCGACGCGACGGGTGTTGGGAGTTGGGTTGTGGGTGCTGTCCTAACAGTCATGGTCAGATCCAAATTAGGTGTGATTTTAATGGAATTCATTTGCCATGTACTAGGATTTTTTATGGTCTAGCGATTAAATTGATTCGCTTCATATAATTGATGGCTATGTTGAGCCATCAGCTGTAATTGAGAAGGCTATCAGAAAAGGAAGAAAAAGGAACAGAGCAAACTCTTCCCAGCACCGCAACTTTAATACAATAGGACAAGAAATTCTCCTGCTTTGTAAATAAAAACAATGAAGAAAGCAGAACGATATTAACAAGTATAATTTAATATTCTTATAAAATGGAACTATATTTATATGCCTAAATAACATTTTTCCCCACACTCGCTTTTAATTGCAGACATCAACAAGGGGTCACCCATCGATTTCAAAAGCGGCTCGGCCTGTTCCACACCCACTAAAGACACACTTAAGGGCTACGAGCGTAGCACGCCCGGCTGTCCGGGCCTGCCGCCTCGCGTCATGAACGGTCTGCCCACACACCACTACTCGGCGCCGATGAACTTCCGGAAGGGTCTCATCGCCCGGTGTTCGACACCCTGTGTGACCATTGCAGCGATTTCGGCATTTGTCGTTCTCTGCCTGCTGCTCATTCTGCTGAGCAGCACCGGAGTCCTGCACTGGTCCCAGCCAGCGCCCTGCACAGTTCTAGTCGGCAATGAGGCGGCCGAGGTGACGGCGGCCAAGAGCACGAACACGGATCTATCGAAATTGCACAACTCATCGGTACGCGCGAAAAATGGTCAAGGCGGACAAAATGGTGGCGGCGGGGGCACGGGAGGCACGGGCCTGGCTACTGTAACTACGGCCACATCGAATAGCGGCACGGCTCAGGGGCTGCAGTCGACATCGGCTTCGGCGGAGGCAACATCCTCAGCGGCGGCTGCTTCGGCTACCGCCACCTCCTCGCAGTCGCAATCATCGTTAACGCCTTCCTCGTCCCTGTCATCGTCCTTGGCAAATGCCAATAATGGAGGTAATTATGCACAAGTTTTAATTATTTTTAAATGAGTTTTGCCAACTTTCCCAAGAGAGCGAAAGAGCAAAAAAAGTAACAAGAACAAAAACAAAAACGCGCGACCGATGGTCGGCCTGGCGGCGTCTTCGCGGAAGAAAGTGTATTGTTTTTCTCCGTATTTGATCTTAAAGTTGCGTCCTTGCAATTGCCTTTGACAGCTGTGCCAGCTCAAGTTTATTTAAATTCGCGCTCAGTTTTCATTGCATTCAATTAAAGTTCAACTTACTGCTTCTATGTGTAGGGGCCGGAGTGTCGTGTCTCTGCGCAGCGCATTGCATTAATTACTTTTTGAGAATATACCTACAAGGCAGAAAAAGAGACACAGTGCAGAAGTAATGGACTTTGCCTAATAATATTAGATATTAAACGATTCTGTCTACTTTTTAGACTCAATCCCAACGTTTGAAATATCTAGAAAAGTAAATAAAGGGACATGTGTAGAATGTCTTTAAATTAGCCAAAACTAGAGAATCATTGTGGGGTATTCAAAATCTCTGAAATTTCAATGATTATTTCAATCATTTTCAACATTACTGCGATTACACATCTTCAAATGTGGGCAATAGTCTTGCAGCCTATGCAATTGCAAACCGATGTGTAAGATTGAAACTATAACTTTTTATGCATTTTATTTCAATTATATTTAAATTGGAATACAGCTCAAAAGAACTTCTGATTTAGATTAAATAACTTTCAATTCCAGTCCAACTGTCAGCTCAGCACTCTCACTTCCACAACATTCTCTATAACTACGTAAATGTTTTGGTTGTGGAAAAAATAAATGATAAAACATTTCAATTATAGGAGTATGCTTATTACAACTGCAATATATATTTCAAACTGTTATTACAGTGCACTGACCCAAATAAATGTATCCATATATATAGTATTAGTTTATGATGATATAAGCAACCCAGTTACTTCACTCAATTTCCTTGCCAAAGTGTCAGCAGATCAACAAAAAGTTGCGCTGTGGTTTATTTTAATGCAACACTTGCCATCGAGCAACTAATTTTCGTGCTATTTTGACAGCTTATGTGAGAAGGGGTTCCGTTTCTTTTCGTTTTCGTCTGCCCGTTTTAGGCCACCTTTCAGACCTTCGGCACACATGACACTTAACATTTGGCAATTAAGCTGTCAGAGGTTGGCGCACACAGACACACGCACATATACCTATAAATACAGATACGTATACGCAGTCTCAAAATAGCTTCCGGGCTCAGACAACTTGTCAGCTTTTAACACGGATACAACACACACACACACACACACACACACACACACACACGAGCAAGTGCGCCTATTTGCACGCAACGAAAAATATTTCATCACAAATCAGGCTGATTAAATTAAAAATACATTTTACGCTTAATTTGTGAAAAGGTGTGTGTGTGTGTGTGTATAGCTAGATATTTGTGGGGGGTTGCTGCTCAACAACCGCGCCCTTCGATTAGTGTAAGAGCCAACAAAGCGCAAAAAACCATCGCCCCAACTACCCCTTCTGTCCCCCAATACGAGTGTACGAGTACGTACCGCCTAGTACAAATACAAAAACCACAGACGCACAGAAACGAAGTCGAGTAATGACGAGAACGATGACAATGTTGACGAGACTCTTACCTGTTTGTATGTCTGTCTGTCTACCTGCTATATAGGAAGTCAAAGCGATACAAAAGCAATGTCAACGCACCTGTCAGCCAGCATGGCGACAAAGGCAAAGGCAACGGCAACGGCAAGGGCGACGACGGCGATGGCGATGGCATCCTGGTGGCTTAGGGCAGGGAACAAACGACGCTATCGACGAAGTTTAATGGCAACAGCCAACAACAACAACAACAGCAACAACAAGCATGAGGAGCAGGAGGCTGCAGAAACTTTCAGCGACTTAATTACAAGCGAGAGTGAAGTCAATGCTGAAAAGCATTTGGCTTTGACTACAGCCTCGGAAGACATTTTGGAATTTATGGGCAGGTCGACGACGACGGCGACGACAACGACGAGGACGAGGACGAGTAAAGAAACTGTCGCTTTGAGAGCCCAGCAAAGTAATTACGATAAAAGTTTGCACAAAATCGATAGCGTATTAAATCTGAGCCTCGATGATAAAAGCTACACAGACAACATCGATGATTATGTGTACGAAGATGCCGATGATGCAGAAACCAGATCTCAGAAACATGCTGCAGCAACATTGAGTCCAGCAGCGCCCGATGATGTTGCTGCTTCGCAAGCATTTGACAAATCATTAGACCACAATTTGCGAAGCCGGGGCAAACAGGTGGTAAGCGCTGCCAAAAAGCTGGGCAAAGGCAAACAGCAGTCATCCGAGATTGGGGATGCAGTGAAGGACGATGTGGATGAGGATAAGGATGAGGATGAGGAAGTAGATGAGCAGCAGATATCAAGCACTACTGGTGTTGTTGTTATTGATGATGATAATCAAAGTGACAGCAGCAGCTCTACGCACGCCACACCAACGACAACAACGCTGGCAACGCTTGAGAGGGACGATGACAAACTTGAAATCAACACCAACACCAGCAGCAACAACAACAACAACAATACTGATGACGACAACAAAAAACTGTCCGAGCATATTATTGAAAATTATTTTCAAATCAAACGGCAAGAGCAGCCGCCAGTCACTGCTGCCACTGATGATAACAATAATGAGCGTGATTTAGCTGACAATGATGATGACGGCAGTAAGCGACAACAACAACAACAACAACAAGAGCAGGAACAACAACACGAAGAGCCACAGCAACATTCCCCTCAAATAAATCAAAGCTCTGCCGATTTAATGCTAAACGACGCTGCCTCCTACAATAATGATGATATTGATATTGTCAAATTAGATGATGCACAAGCACTGAACTCCAATGAAATGGATGTTTATAAAATCAAAAAACAACAGCAGCAACCTCCTAAAATGGCTGCTTCAGGCCATTCCCAGGAAAATGAGGTGCTCAAGGAGAACAAAGTGGATGATGAGATCGTCGACGAGTTTGTGCCGCTTAAACCTGTTGTCAGCGAGCAATACGATCAGCCCGGAAAACGGATTCTGGTCAACCTGACTATAGCCACAGATGATGGCAGTGGCTCTGTCTATACATTGCACGTGGCTCTGCCCACTGGCGACCGCAATGATGGACGCGTCCACAACGTAGAACAAGTGCTAACCCATGAACATCGAACGGATCATATTGTGGACAGTTGTGTGCCCGAACCACCGCCACGCATGCCCGACTGCCCATGTGCCTGTCTGCCCAATTTCCTGGAGCAGCAGGACGTTGACATTGACTTTCCCAGTTCTACGACGACCACTCCACACCATATAGAGTCAGCAACCATTCTGTCGCACCACGCTGACATTGTGCAGGCTGCAGATGAAGTTGAAGTTGAAGATGAGAAGGAGAACGACCCATTTGTAGCATCACCCACAATTGCAACAATTGCAACAATTGCAACAACAGCAACAACAACTACTAACATTGCTGCCACAGAGTTTGATAACAACATTGCCGATGCAGAACCTACCGACGGTGTTGGCGTTGCTGAAAAGTTTGCATGCCCCGATGTAATGCCTATACTCATACTCGAAGGTGATTTGTACTGCGCTAACCCACTGCTAACCCCCCAATTAAAATGCTGCCAATTAACCAGACGACTGCACTTGGGAGTTGCCGCCCCCAGAGTGTGGGCGTTGTTAACAACAACTAAACGGCTGTACAGCTTATTAACTTCTAGTTTAGCCTCTAACTAAAACACTTTCACACGCCACCCCTCCAATTAGTTGTTTGCTAATTAGTTTTGAAAAGTCATGGCAACACACTTCCCCACTCATCTGTGCAATAATAAACTCATCAGCTCGCCAACACATGTACAATACTCCTTAAAACATGGCCAACATACACATTTGCTTATGTACATCTCTCCGGCATGGTCAGACACAACGAAGTAGCAGTGGGAAGTTGATTGACAAATGAAATTTGAGTGCGAGACATTAAGTTGTCCAACAAGCTTCTAAGGGGTGTTTTTAAGAATATTCGGCATCATTTAAATTATATCAGATGATGACGATGGAAGTGCCACGGAAACTGGTTACTGCAGCTCCGATTCATATTTGGCTCTCTAATCTAGAATATTTGCGAGCTATCCACATATATAAGCAGTTCAAAAAAAAAAAAACTGCAGAACCATCTGGCCAATAAATTTGAACACTACGCGGCTTGAAAAACACTCTTTAAAGTTGAATTCACACATACTAATTTCGTCTAACACAACAAGTAGTATTACGATTTCGTAAAAGGTTTAAAAAATGAACTCATTATAATTTTGAAATGTGTGCTAATTTACGGAAGTTGGAATTGATCCGATTATCTCTCTCTCAAATATTAACACTTTGATAACCTTAATAAAATAAAACACAACGGATTGGTTTAAAAATCGATTAACAGTCCTCCTCAGTCCAGCCTTGATGACGCAACGATTGGCCACAAATTAGAGGTAATAGGTACTTCAGCTTGGGTGTAAACAGATTTGAAGGAGTTGAAAATTTGTGATTATCTCTGTACAAATCTATAGCTCTAAGTATTAAAGATAATAGGTTCTTCAGCTTGGGTGTAAACAGATTTGAATGAGTTGAAAATTTGTGATTATCTCTGTACAAATCTATAGTTCTAAGTATCACATCAGGTAGCCTATCTTTTGCGAAGTCACATGCGCTCTCATGTGTACAAAATGAAAATCATCTCATATATCCATACATATATTATGAAAAGTATATTGCAAGTCCTTGAATGTACATCAACTGGAACTAACCCAAAGAAAACTGTTACTTTTTTGTCTCATCCCTCACCAAAAAAACACAAACACACACGCACATCCACACAATGCTATGCGCTCGCTTGCGATACTCAGGAGCACGCACATTCCCGGCGCGCAGTTTCCCACCGGATGGCACCACATTTGGCCAAATAACATTGGGCCAGAAGCTGACGAAGGAGATACAGCCCTATAGCTATTGGAATATGCAGTTCTATCAGTCGGAAGCGGCCTACGTAAAGTTCGATTATACCATACCGCGCGGAGCCTCAATCGGCGTCTATGGGCGACGCAATGCGCTGCCAACCCACACACAGTACCACTTTAAGGAGGTGCTGAGTGGTTTCAGTGCAGGCACGCGTACTGCCAGAGCGGCACATGTAAGTAGTTGCTCCACGCGCCTAATCTTGATGTCTACTAATGCGCATTTTGACTAAACTCTAACTTTTTGTGTGTCTCTTTCATGCACCACCCAAACACCCAACCACCAAACCACCAAACCACGAATCATTTAAATCACATGTCATCCCATCTGACTTGATGTCACTCGCTTGCCAATCACTCGCCTGCCTGCCTGCCTACCTGCCTGCAGTTGTCCATAACGCGCGAAGTTACACGCTACATGGAGTCGGGTCATTGGTTCATCTCGCTCTACAACGACGATGGGGATCTTCAGGAGCTTACTTTTTATGCGGCCATTGCCGAGGATATGACACAGAACTGTCCCAACGGCTGCTCCGGCAACGGACAGTGCCTGCTCGGGCATTGTCAGTGCAATCCCGGCTTCGGAGGCGACGATTGTAGTGAGAGCGTCTGCCCAGTTCTGTGCTCCCAGCATGGCGAGTACATCAACGGCGAATGCATTTGCAATCCGGGCTGGAAGGGCAAGGAGTGCTCCCTTCGGCATGATGAGTGTGAGGTTGCCGATTGCAATGGCCATGGTCATTGCGTCAGCGGCAAGTGCCAATGCATGCGCGGCTATAAGGGAAAATTCTGTGAAGAAGGTATTAGAGAGTTTTCCCACTTATTGAAAATTCTAAAGCCCCTCTAAAGAAACTGTCTTGATTTCGATTTAGTTATTATTTAATCTCGATTTGATCGGGACTTCATATTGAAAACGTATCACGAAATTGAAGATATTATTGTTTCTCGAACACACTCCTCAGAACTGTTACTAATTCTTATTTAATTTCAGTTGACTGTCCTCATCCGAATTGCTCAGGTCATGGTTTCTGTGCGGATGGTACTTGCATTTGCAAGAAAGGCTGGAAAGGTACCGATTGCGCCACCATGGATCAGGATGCTCTGCAGTGTCTGCCAGACTGCTCGGGCCATGGTAGTTTTGATCTGGACTCCCAGACCTGCACCTGCGAGTCGAAGTGGAGTGGCGACGATTGCTCAAAAGAGCTGTGCGACTTGGACTGTGGCCAGCATGGCCGCTGCGAAGGCGATGCCTGTGCCTGTGATCCTGAGTGGGGTGGCGAGTATTGCAACACAAAACTGTGCGATGCCCGTTGCAATGAGCATGGACAATGCAAGAATGGAACTTGTTTGTGCGTCACCGGCTGGAATGGCAAGCATTGCACGATTGAGGGCTGTCCCAACAGCTGTGCTGGCCATGGACAGTGTCGCGTCAGTGGTGAGGGTCAATGGGAGTGTCGTTGTTACGAAGGCTGGGATGGACAAGACTGCGGCATTGCGCTCGAATTGAATTGCGGCGACAGCAAGGACAATGACAAGGGTAAGTTGTGCAACATTACACGAATTACTAAAGTCCTAACTCATCTCTCACGCAATAGATGGCCTAGTTGATTGCGAAGATCCCGAGTGCTGTGCCAGCCATGTGTGCAAGACCTCCCAGTTGTGTGTCTCTGCGCCGAAACCCATCGATGTGCTGTTGCGGAAACAGCCTCCGGCCATAACGGCCTCATTCTTCGAACGCATGAAGTTCCTCATCGACGAAAGCAGCTTACAAAACTATGCCAAGCTCGAAACGTTCAATGAAAGGTAAGTGCTTTCTAGTTGCCAATTTATGTTTTCCGTTTGTTTTAAGTTTACAAAAAAAAAGAAAGCCAAATCGTAAATTCTTGCAACAAGTCAAAAGCTGTGCATAGTTTTTTTTTCAATTGGTCAGCTAAGCGGCGCCCAATGCGGGGCCCACTAATTAATTATCTACATTCAATGTGCTGTAAATTATAAAAATTAGCTGAATGTATACTACCGAAAAAATATACGTATCAATAATCTAAATAGTTTGCATAATTAATCATTTTTCTATGTTAAATATTTCATTTTTGTTTTCGTGCCCTCGTCTAAAAATATCCCACAAAACGAAAAAATATCCATCAGATAAAACACATATACCCAACTCCCAATCTAAATCTTGTAAATAAAAATCCCTATATGTCCTTTGTTAAAACAATACCCAAAAACTGAACGAACAAATTGAAATCGAAGTATTCCAAAATTTTAAGTAATGCATTTAATATTAAGTAGGGTACATACCCAAATTGTTAAGGTCTATATACAAACGAGTCCCGTATTAGGTCTAAACACTTTAAGTCACTTTTGTACAGCTAAGATTAATGCTACATACAAGTATATATCGACCCTTCACAAGGCAACTATAAGTAAACTAAACTAATGAAGCCGATGTTAGTCCGAAAATTTTTAATTTTAATCATAAAGGGTATTATTGTATAAATAGGGGGTTTTCTTTGTATAAAGAGATAAAACATGTGCTGTGATAAATTTCCTTGTGAAGGGATTTTTTGGTTTTCGGCAAGATCGAAACATTAACATCTAATTAAAATTGTTCTAAGAATTTTCTACTAATATTTTCGGTAGTGGGTTTTAAATAGAAACCGTTTCTGCTAAGAGAACGAACAAAAAAACAATCATGCTAATTCAATTATTTTTCTCTCTGCTCTCTTTTTCTTCTCAACACGCGCGCCCTAAAAAATCAATTGACAAAAAATAATCCAAATTATCCATATAACTAACTAAATTAATACTATTACTACTGTACTACCTCCACTCGCTACTAATTCCACACACACACCCACACACATTTTGTACAAACACCCAAATTAAATTCCAAATGCTTTGTACGAACTAACGAATGCCTTGTGCTACTCGTTACTCGCTGTATTTTGAAAAATCAAAACAAATACTAACAGCATTTTTTGGAATTATTTCAATGCAAGGTAAGCAAGCGAAAAGCGGTACTAAAAATACTACTACTACTACTACTTATTCTCGATGGTTGTTTGGTACACTCATTTCTTTTCATTTCTAATTTCTAATTCCTAATCATATTTTTCTAAGTACTTGACTCAAAATGGTATTAACTTATTTTTACCTTTTTTAGTTTATAGCATAGCTTATTTAGTTTCTTTTGAAAGGCCACCTTTCAATGTAGATTATTTGTATTATTTTTTTTCAATTACATATTTCTCGCGCTCCAACAGACACAGAAACTCGTTCATTCGCTACTCTTTATACTACGACCAAGCAACCAGCAAATGCGTTAAGCACCTTGGGTTTTATTTAACTAATAAGCTATGACAATTCTCACACATAGGTCAATTCTAGGTCACCAATATCTAACTTTATACATATATATATATATCTATAAACATACATACAAGTACAATATATATTGTTCAAATTGTAAAACCTTTATGTGTTGAAACGAGTCTTATGTTTTGTGCGTGTGAATTTTTGAACATATTTTCAGTTCTCTTGATGATATTATTTAGTTTTTATCTAAGCATTTCGTAGTGTTTTAGTTCTCGAATCATAAGTTCGATATGCTTGTTAGCAGATATATCTATAGTGTTCTTGTTTATGCCACTTAACTAATTGTTGATTTTTTTATCTGCCCCTCCCCAACAGTCGCTCGGCAGTTATACGCGGTCGTGTCGTAACCTCACTGGGTATGGGCCTGGTGGGGGTGCGAGTCTCAACGACAACCCTATTGGAAGGTTTTACACTTACACGCGATGATGGTTGGTTCGATCTGATGGTGAATGGTGGCGGCGCTGTAACTTTGCAGTTTGGACGAGCACCCTTCCGTCCACAGTCGCGCATTGTGCAAGTACCCTGGAATGAGGTGGTCATCATCGATGTAGTGGTGATGTCCACGTCCGAGGAAAAGGGTTTAGCAACGACTTCGACGCATACTTGCTTCTCTCACGATTACGATCTTATGAAACCCGTCGTGCTGGCCTCGTGGAAGCATGGCTTCCAGGGCGCATGCCCCGATCGCAGCGCTATTCTTGCAGAGTCTCAAGTCATACAGGAGTCCCTGCAAATACCTGGCACTGGTCTCAATCTCGTCTACCATTCGTCCCGTGCCGCTGGCTACCTGTCCACCATTAAGCTGCAACTAACGCCCGATAGCATTCCCGCCTCGTTGCATCTCATTCATCTGCGCATTACCATCGAGGGCATTCTGTTCGAGCGTGTGTTCGAGGCTGATCCGGGCATTAAGTTCACCTATGCCTGGAATCGCCTTAACATCTACAGACAGAGAGTCTATGGTGTGACCACAGCCGTTGTCAAAGTTGGCTATCAATACACCGACTGCAAGGACATTGTCTGGGACATACAAACCACCAAACTAAGCGGTCACGACATGTCTATCTCTGAGGTGGGCGGCTGGAACTTGGACATCCATCATCGCTACAACTTCCACGAGGGTATTCTGCAAAAGGGTGATGGCTCCAACATCTATCTGCGAAACAAGCCTCGCATTATCCTAACGACCATGGGTGATGGGCATCAGCGACCACTGGAATGCTTGGACTGTGACGGTCTAGCCATGAAGCAACGCTTGCTGGCACCAGTTGCGCTTGCAGCTGCCCCCGATGGCAGCCTCTTCGTAGGTGACTTCAACTACATTCGTCGCATCATGACCGATGGCAGCATTCGTACAGTCGTCAAACTGAACGCCACACGTGTCTCGTACCGCTATCACATGGCGCTGAGTCCATTGGACGGCACTCTGTACGTTTCCGATCCGGAATCACATCAGATCATTCGAGTGCGCGACACGAGCGACTACTCACAGCCGGAACTGAATTGGGAGGCCGTTGTGGGTTCGGGCGAACGTTGTCTGCCTGGCGATGAGGCGCACTGCGGCGATGGAGCGCTGGCTAAGGACGCTAAGCTGGCTTACCCTAAGGGAATTGCTATCTCCAGTGATAATATACTGTACTTTGCCGATGGAACCAACATTCGCATGGTCGATCGAGACGGCATCGTGACGACACTCATAGGCAATCACATGCACAAGTCGCACTGGAAACCAATACCCTGCGAGGGCACGCTAAAGCTCGAGGAAATGCATCTGCGCTGGCCAACCGAACTAGCTGTGTCCCCCATGGATAACACACTGCATATTATCGACGACCACATGATCCTACGCATGACGCCCGATGGACGCGTTCGAGTGATTTCGGGACGTCCGCTTCACTGTGCCACCGCCTCTACTGCCTACGACACAGACTTGGCTACGCACGCTACTCTGGTAACCCCGCAGTCCATTGCCTTTGGACCTCTCGGTGAACTGTTTGTTGCGGAGAGCGACTCGCAGCGCATAAATCGCGTGCGTGTGATCGGCACCGATGGACGTATTGCCGCCTTTGCCGGCGCCGAGTCCAAATGCAACTGCCTGGAGCGCGGCTGTGACTGCTTTGAGGCGGAGCACTACCTGGCGACCAGTGCCAAGTTCAACACCATTGCTGCCCTGGCCGTGACACCCGATGGACACGTGCACATTGCCGATCAGGCAAATTATCGCATACGCTCGGTCATGTCCAGCATACCAGAGGCCAGTCCATCGCGCGAGTATGAAATCTATGCACCCGATATGCAGGAGATTTATATATTCAACCGCTTTGGCCAGCATGTGTCCACGCGCAACATTTTGACCGGCGAAACCACCTACGTCTTCACTTACAACGTCAACACATCCAACGGTAAGCTGAGCACAGTGACGGACGCAGCAGGCAACAAAGTGTTCCTCTTGCGTGACTACAGCTCGCAAGTGAACTCCATCGAGAACACGAAAGGTCAGAAGTGTCGTCTGCGCATGACCCGCATGAAGATGCTGCACGAACTAAGCACCCCAGATAACTACAATGTCACCTATGAGTACCATGGACCCACGGGTCTGCTCAAAACCAAACTCGATTCCACGGGACGTTCGTATGTATACAACTACGATGAATTCGGACGCTTGACATCGGCAGTGACTCCAACTGGACGTGTGATTGAGTTGAGCTTCGATTTGAGCGTGAAGGGTGCCCAAGTCAAGGTATCGGAGAATGCACAAAAGGAGCTGTCAATGCTCATTCAAGGTGCCACCGTCATTGTACGTAATGGTGCCGCCGAGTCTCGCACCACTGTCGACATGGACGGCTCCACAACAAGCATTACACCATGGGGCCACAATTTGCAAATGGAAGTGATGCCTTACGCCATATTGGGCGAGCAGAGCCCACTACTGGGTGAGAGCTACCCAGTGCCAGCCAAGCAACGCACCGAAATTGCTGGAGACCTTGCAAACCGCTTTGAGTGGCGCTATTTCGTACGCCGTCAGCAACCAATTGGCAAGCAGCTCAAGGGTTCGCGACCGGTGACCGAAGTAGGTCGCAAACTTCGTGTGAATGGCGACAACGTGCTGACGCTGGAGTACGATCGTGAGACACAATCGGTGGTGGTGATGGTGGATGACAAGCAGGAGTTACTTAATGTTACCTACGACCGCACCTCGCGACCTGTCAGCTTCCGTCCCCAGTCGGGTGACTACGCAGATGTCGATTTGGAGTATGATCGCTTTGGCCGTCTGGTTAGCTGGAAGTGGGGCGTTCTCCAGGAAGCGTACACCTTTGATCGCAATGGAAGACTTAATGAAATAAAATATGGCGACGGCTCGTCGATGGTGTATGCCTTTAAAGATACTTTCGGCTCCCTACCACTGAAGGTGACAACCCCGAGACGCTCTGACTATTTACTGCAGTACGACGATGCGGGTGCACTGCAGAGTCTAACAACACCTCGCGGTCACATACACTCCTTCTCTCTGCAAACATCACTCGGTTTCTTCAAATACCAATACTACTCGCCGATCAACCGACATCCGTTTGAAATCCTATACAACGATGAGGGCCAAATACTGGCCAAGATCCATCCGCATCAGTCCGGCAAGGTAGCGTTTGTGCATGATCCTGCTGGTCGCTTGGAAACCATTTTAGCTGGACTCTCGAGTACCCACTACACTTACCAGGATACCACCAGCTTGGTCAAGTCTGTGGAGGTGCAAGAGCCAGGTTTTGAGCTACGTCGCGAATTCAAATATCATGCTGGCATATTGAAGGACGAGAAACTGCGCTTTGGATCCAAGAACTCTCTAGCTTCAGCGCATTATAAATATGCCTACGATGGTAACGCCCGTCTTAGCGGAATTGAAATGGCAATCGACGATAAGGAATTGCCAACCACACGCTACAAGTACAGCCAGAATCTCGGCCAGCTAGAAGTAGTGCAGGATCTGAAGATCACACGCAATGCCTTCAATCGCACTGTGATTCAGGACTCGGCTAAGCAGTTCTTCACCATTGTGGACTACGACCAGCATAGACGCGTGAAGAGCGTGTTGATGAACATCAAGAGTCTGGACGTATTCCGTCTGGAGCTCGACTATGATCTGCGCAATCGTATCAAGTCGCAAAAGACGACGTTTGGGCGATCAACCGCCTTCGACAAGATCAACTACAATGCGGATGGCCATGTAATCGAAGTGTTGGGCACCAACAACTGGAAGTATCTGTACGACGAGAATGGCAACACGGTGGGAATTGTTGATCAGGGCGAGAAATTCAATCTCGGCTACGATATTGGCGATCGCGTTATCCAACTAGGCGAAGTAGAGTTCAATAACTACGATGCTCGCGGATTTGTGGTCCGACGTGGAGAACAAAAGTATCGCTACAACAATCGCGGTCAACTGATACACGCCTTTGAACGCGAACGCTTCCAAAGCTGGTACTACTATGATGACCGCAGCCGTCTGGTCGCTTGGCACGATAGCAAAGGCAATGTCACTCAGTACTACTATGCCAATCCGAAAACGCCACAGCTAGTCACGCACGTACACTTCCCCAAGCTGGCCAAGACCATAAAGTTCTACTATGATGATCGCGACATGCTGATGGCGATAGAGAATGCCGAGCAACGGTTCTATGTAGCCACCGATCAGAATGGCTCACCACTGGCCTTCTTCGATATGAACGGTGGCATTGTAAAGGAGCTGAAGCGAACACCATTCGGTCGCATTATAAAGGACACCAATCCAGAGTTCTTTGTGCCTATCGATTTCCATGGCGGTCTCATTGATCCGCACACCAAACTAATCTACACCGAGCGCAGGCAATACGATCCCACTGTGGGTCAGTGGATGACCCCACTGTGGGAAACTCTGGCCACCGAAATGTCCAATCCCACCGATGTCTTCATCTACCGCTACCACAACAACGATCCCATTAATCGCAACCGGCCCCAGAACTACATGATCGATTTAGATGCCTGGCTGCAGCTCTTTGGATACGATCTCAACAACATGCAGAGCAGTCGGTACACCAAGCAGGCCCAATATATGCCACAGGCCTCCATCAAGTCGAACACCTTAGCCCCAGACTTTGGCGTAATCTCTGGCCTAGAATGCATTGTGGAGAAGATTAACGAGAAGTTCAGCGACTTCGATTTTGTGCCCAAACCGCTGCTGAAGATGGAGCCCAAGATGCGTAATTTGCTGCCTCGCGTCAGCTACCGTCGTGGCGTCTTTGGCGAGGGCGTGCTACTCTCGAGGATAGGCGGTCGTGCGCTGGTCAGTGTCGTCGATGGCTCCAACAGCGTGGTGCAGGACGTGGTCAGCTCGGTGTTTAACAACTCGTACTTCCTCGACCTGCACTTCAGCATACACGATCAGGACGTCTTCTACTTTGTCAAGGACAATGTGCTGAAACTGCGCGACGACAACGAGGAGCTGCGTCGCCTGGGCGGCATGTTCAACATATCAACCCATGAGATCAGCGAGCATGGTGGCAGTGCGGCCAAAGAGTTGCGCCTGCACGGTCCCGATGCAGTTGTCATCATCAAGTATGGTGTCGACCCAGAACAGGAGAGGCACCGCATACTCAAGCATGCTCACAAGCGCGCCGTCGAGCGTGCCTGGGAGCTGGAGAAGCAATTGGTCGCTGCCGGCTTCCAGGGACGCGGCGACTGGACCGAGGAGGAGAAGGAGGAGTTGGTTCAACATGGTGATGTGGATGGCTGGATCGGCATCGACATACACAGCATACACAAATATCCACAACTGGCCGACGATCCCGGCAACGTTGCCTTCCAGCGTGATGCGAAGCGCAAGCGCCGCAAGACAGGCGTCAGCCATCGACAGAGCAATCATCGACAGCAGCGATACATCGGTGAGTTGGGTGCGTGAGTGGAGGAGCCGGCATTGGAGTGGAGCGAAGCTTACGACGAGTACGGCGAGCTGGAGCAGGACTATTTGATAAAGGTGGGCGAGGTGGCCACCGACTTAAGGTCGCCGCCCAATGATAGCAACGAGACTGTGGAGTTTTTGTAAGTAATTGTAGGTGAAATGCAGTAGGATCCCCAATCGAGGATCGACGGAGGATCTACGGCAGATGGCTTCAAACGCAACACATATTACTAAAAGCATAATATGAACTTTAATTGAGTTTAAAGTTTAGTATTAGAGTCAGAAGAATCGGATCAGGAACAGGAACATAAACAGCACCAGCAACAGCAACAGCAAATGAAACAGCAACAGCCCTCACTACCGAACGAATTAACGAACAAAAAACCATATACATACATATAAATAATAATAATATTAATTATAAAAATCTATAAATTGATGTTGAGTTTAGGCTACAGAGCGTATGTTTAATGTGGCATACATACAAGTATGTCTATCGAATGTGTAATGTTTAATGTACTTTTTTAAAACTGATTGTATTGATTGTAACTGATTGTAATTGATTGTAACTGATTGTAATTGATTGTAATTGATTGTAATCGATGTGTAAAGCAAGCAACTAATCGCATTTGAGCGCCATATACGAGCCATCAGCGTACTCGTATTGAGGCAGCTGCGAGTCTTCGCACAACTCGTTGCATATAGTTTTGTATAAAGCATACATATACATGTGTATATCAAAGGAGCAACAGCATGAGCACAATATATAATACTATATATAGTATATACTATAAAGATATATACGTATTACAGAAAAAAAACTAGTTTGATGATGCTGTCCCCTGTGGATTTTGTGTTTAGTCTACAAATAGGCAACAAATATTAAATAGCAAAGAAAAAAAGAAAAGAAAGAAAAACATCCCATATAGTATATATATGCATACATATATAAAATTAGTAAGATGGAAATAAATATTGATATGACGTGCATACACATACAGATATAAACTCAAAGGAAACGTAATTAAATGTAAAAAGTTTAAAGCCACACACACACACAACAACAACAAAAACAAAAACAACAACAGCCACGAATAGTAACCACTTAGCTTAGCCCACTCGTATGTATGGAAAAAAAAACAAGAAAAGAAAAAACGAAACACAAAGTGAACAATTTAAGCAGCAGCTTCGTTTTCATAAAAATCGCTTTGAATATGTATATAAAATACCAACAACAACAAACAAAACTACAACTACTAAACTATGCTTTAACATATAACGCCTAATTGTTAGTTTACTATTTGTATAATTTGATTTTCATTTGTGTATTATTTTAATTGAAAATCAACTCACACACTCACTTCAACGAATGCTCGAATTCAGAGGACTTTAAAGCGCGTCTACTTAACTTCTTCAGCCGCAAGCCAAAAAGCAAAGAATTGAAATCTCTTAACAGTTGAACGCTTGATAATCCTTACTAAACAATTACTGACTGCTTCTCTAATACTCTTACTCCGCTGAAATGACACTTTCCGACCCATTGTCTAACGTTATACGATTAATGTTGAATTTATTCAGAACGCAAAATGCATTAAACAACAACTTTTTACAAATTGTGATATATTTCTAAACATTTCATTTCATTAACAATATGGGAACGCAAGCGAAAGACTTGCATGAAATGTTGCAAAAGAAAAATCAAAGTAACGAGGAAAGTGAACCGAGAGGAAAGTTTTAAACAAATTGAGTTATTTTCTCAATTTTTTCAACTTAGTTATTATAAACATATTTTGTATTTTACACTTATAGTTTTTAAACAAACAAAATGCAATATTTAGTTTCGTCAGTTTGCCATGTTAATTTTAAAAGCAATGCATTTTATACGCATTTATTTTACTCGACAGATTATACACCTAATACTGATGGTTTTCAGTTAAGCAATATTTACAACAATTATTTTATTGAGTTTATTTAACTGCAACTTCCCCGGTCCCAAATATTGTTTTTTTTTTTCTTCAGCAAACTTTGCACTTAAAGTCGTTGGCATTTTGCTGGCATTTTTATGTTTATAATTATTAACATTATTAAACTATTTATAACTAAACTAAAATCTATTGACTATTGAGATATAAACTAGCATAAACCCCTAGTGCGCATAATTAAGTCTTAAAGAATATACAAATGAGAACAAAAACAAAAGATAATATAAAGTCCCATATAACCGTAAAAGCAAACACCTTGTAATATATACACTGAACTACACGTAGCCACTAAGACTTAGGCTTAAAAACTTGAAAACTCGTAATGAAATCGAAAAAAAAAATTAGCACCTAACTATTGTGAAAATGAGCGAGCATCGTCGCCGTCGTCGTCGGTGTCTTCGGCATCGAGGAAGTAAAATGAAAGCGTAGTAATTAGCTAAAGTGTTAGTAATTTTATTAAATAAAATTATAAATGAAAGGAAAAGAAAAACAGAAATATGACAAACAATTAAACACTATACTTAAGCGAAGCAGGGGAAACTCGAAAATTAATTATCACGTGAGTGAAACGAATGTTGTGTACAAAACGAATTGAAAATGCGAGCGCAGAAAAACACAAATTTTCATGTTTTCCAAAAATAGAAAGCAACTTCAACATCAAAGGGAAATTCTCACACAACATAAAATTGTAAAATAGCAGCAAAAGTATATAAATGTATATGTAATTAAAATTAAGCAGCATTACATTAACCAAAATAAAATTTAAAAAAAAAGTTATTGAAATCAGCAAGATCGAAACAAGGCAAGCATAACATTCTGACTGAAATAAGCAAGTTAAAAGATGAGAAATTAAAATCAATATTCTTTTGCTTACATTTTCTTATTGCACATTTTATTTCCCAACTTTAAATCAAACAGTAATTGTTTTTCAAATGAACTGCAAATTTTCTGCATTCCTCGATTGAGCATAATTTCAAATTAATTATAAATACCACAGACCTTGAAAACAAACACACACGAGCTACATACGTAAATATTCAAGTGTTTCGTACACGAACAGAAATAATAATAACAATTACAAAATTACGATCAGTATTTAAATTGTATGTGTGAAATTGTCTCAAAACTCAATCAGAACGGTATGCAGAAAGTAAATCTAATTTTAAAAATAAAAGCAATTGATGGCAAGAACAAAACAAAAACAAGCATTAATTGTATACATATGAAATACATTTATGGCAAGCCACAAAAAATGATAATACATCCACATAAATATATATAATACCTAATAATACGAATAAAAGCGATTTCAATAAAATGAAAATTAAAAAAAACAAATGCAATAGACTTTTTATTTCTAAAAGGCTTACGGTCGAAGCCAGGTTTGTATTTTAAAACGATTATAATTTATATATGTATTGCTTAAGAAATGGGCATGCTGTGAATAACATGCGTCATCACTGTCCAAGTTGGCGGCGGCCTTTTAACTACACTTGAACCAGCATTGACTACCAGGTAAACATAAATGAGCAGTAGGCAAATGCATTGCTTGTTTATTTATAGTTAAACAGCTGATTTCTGCTTACATTTCGGGATGCACAGTTAGAATTGCATTTGTTTACATTTGAAATGCAACCAATAAGAGAGCCCCAATTTGTTTACATTTCGCAAAGCACCGTAAGGATCGTGCAGCTATTGTGAACCAGTACGTTTTGTGTTCATTCACAATTTCAATCTCAGCCGGCTTGTTTACTTGCTGTTGACTTATGCGCGCCTGGTGTATGAAGACATGTAACGCTTGGAAGTTTCATATAAAAATCGGAAAAATCAATTTCAGCAGTTGCCGGCGGCCTCTTAGCGACACATAAACCTCCACTATCTACCAGGTGAACATAAATGGCCAATAGGCAACTGCATTGTTTGTTTATTAAAGGCGAAGCAGCTGATTTCTATTTACTTTTCGCAATGCACCGTAAGGATCGCGTTTGTTTACATTTCAAATGCAACCAATAGGAGAGCCCAAATTTGTTTACATTTGTAGCGCACCCAACTTTAATTTGTTTACTTTTTGGAAAGCACCGCTGGGTTGGCGCAGCTATTGTGAGCCTCTGCTTTTTGCTCACATTCGCAATTTAAATCCCAGCCTGCTTGTTTACTTCCTGCTCACTTATGATCCCCTGGTGAAATCCATTGAAATTAGTCCCAAAACCGAGCAAATTTTGTTCCTGCCGGTTGCCGGCGGCCTTTTAGCGGCACATAAACCTCCACTATCTACCAGGTGAACATAAATGAGCAGTAGGTGGATGCATTGATTGTTTATTTAAAGTTAAACAGCTGATTTTTGTTTACATTTCATTTGTTTACATCTAAAATGCAGCCAATAGGAGGATCCCAGTTTGTTTACGTTTCGCAATGCACCGTAAGGATGGCGTTTGTTTGCATTTCAAATGTTTGTTTACTTTTCCTTCTGTGTGTTACATACATTCGCACAAAACTTTGGGTATAGGGTATAATAATAGAATCAAAATATCTGTGCTTCACAATTTATTTTAAATGTAATAACAAATAAGCTAAGCTTTCTACTTAAAGCCAGCTACATTACGTGTTCATTAAATTTCTTGTACAAATATTTAAGCGATTATGAAGTTTTGGCTTTTTTTAACAAGTCCTTTACGCCAGATTGTGACCAGTGGGATTTTCGGTAAACAGCGTACTTCCAGAAGGTTGATTTAAAAATCTTGAATAGGGTCCGATGGTTACCTGATAGTTAGACTGCTTTAGGGCATCGGTATTACGTGCGAGCACCAACAGCTGGCCGCTGAGACTTATATCAATATTCCGTAGCTCGCTAAATTTCTGCTTTTGATCGAGCACATACATATTGTAGCTAACACCGTAGAGACCAAACAGCAGATCCAGTTCACGGCGCAGGATTTGCGGCGTTATCAACTGCTTGGTTTCGCTGTGCTGCAATAATATGGACGCCTTACTGCTGTTGCCAAATCGTGGCTTTATATCTGCGTTCAGCGCCACATTTAGCCACGGCAGGCTGGGCAGTTGCAAATCCTGCGTCGATAAAATGAACAGGGTCAGTGGCACACCTTTTAGATCACACAGCTGGCTGGCAATAACGTGTTTCTTGCCCGCTTTCTCGTCCGTATATTCCAAAAACTCCGACTTGACGGCCGTTTTAATCATGCCCGCATAGTTGATAAGTACTTTTTGAAGTTGTGCCTGTGCTTCCTGTGCCTCCTTTTGGTTTTTATTTTTGCTGCTGTTCTCGAATTCATAGCATATAAGCACCGGATCGGTGGGTATTAGCTGAGCTATCTTCTTCAGCTTCTGCACGCGATTGATCACCTCGCGTGCCAATCCCTCCTCCAATAGCTCCTCATTTGGCGTCATATCCATTAGTACCAGCACCTCGTTATCACTATGAGCTTCAAAGTTGCTGCCTACTTGATCGGACGTACTTAGAATTACACGCACCTCCTCCAACTCAATGCGCTGATCCAGAATGTTGAAATAACCCTGCGCCATCTGCTTTTGTATATCATCATCTTTGAGTGACTTGATGGCCGCCATCACGGCTTTAAAGTTGCCCTTCAGGCGTTGGCCAAGCGTCTGAAAATAATTAATTTGAACTCAAATTATAACAGTATCCAAGGAAAGGGCCAAGAAATATATAAACAAGCTTACCTTATGATCTGGCTCAGCACGCAAGGTTACGCCATATTTCTCCTTGTCCGAACTCAGCGTCAGTTTTCGGACGTTCAGCTCGCTAAGTATAAAGTCTTGGAGACTCTTTACCGCAGCCAACGCTTGTGGATCTTTGTGAATGACAATAATTTCGGAGACCGGATACTTGACAGGCAGTGTACGACGATCGCGCATGACACGACCCAAATCAACAACCGATTGCATCAGTGAAACCGACTGTTCAATGTCGCTGCGAATAAACTTTCTCTGAATGGCGGGCATCATTTGATAGTGAACGGACTCTGCATTTTCTATCGAGCCCTTCGGCTGGAACAGGGCCAGACGTTGGAAGATGTATTCAGTGAGGTAAGGTGTGAAGGGAGCCATCATTTTCACCATGCTGAAGAGCACATCGTAAAGTGTGTCCAGAGATTGTATGCACTCCGATGCGCCCAGTTCCCCCTTAATGCGGCGGCGATTGAGGCGAACATACCTAAAAATAAACATTTAAAATAGCTGCATACTTTTTAGAAATCATGAGTCGGCATTTGCCGCTATGTCTTACCAATTGGTGAGCTGATCTATGAATTTGGTTAGTCGCGGCACTACTGTGTACAGACGATACATTTTCATTTCTGTGGCTATGAACTCCAGCAACGATTCCTTGAAGGACAAGATCCAAACATCTATGACCGATGCCTGTTCCATGTTCTTCAAATGACGCGCTCTGTCGTAGAAATACTGAGAGCGACCGCCCAGATCCTCTTTTTCGTAGCGTACAATGTTTTGAAGCAAGAAGCGATAAGCATTGTACCAAGGCAGAAATACATCCTTGATAATGTCACGCACTCCCTCCTCTTTGAATCGCAGACTCTCAGCTCGCACCACCGGCGAATTGATCAAGTACAAGCGTAGGGCATCGGCTCCATACTTATGCACCACCTCCATGGGATCGGGATAGTTCTTCTTGCGCTTCGACATCTTTTGCCCATCGGCAGCCAGCACTAAGCCACTGGCAATAAGGTTCTTGAATGGGGCCTTGTTGAACAGTGCCGTCGAGATGACTAGCAACGTGTAGAACCAGCCACGTGTCTGATCGATGCCTTCCGAAATAAAATCCGCCGGGAAATTATTCATAAAGTCCTTCTCATTCTCAAAAGGAAAATGTTGCTGGGCAAAGGGCATAGAACCAGATTCAAACCAGCAGTCAAAGACGGGTGCAATGCGGCGCAAAGGTGGACGTCCAGGCACTGATGATGGTATCTCAATATTGTCAATGCTCTCGCGATGCAAATCTTCTACCTGCACGCCCGACAACTCAGCCAGCTGCTTGATGCTACCAATGACTACGGTCTCATCACCGCTGGGCGAACGCCAGATGGGTATGGGAGTACCCCAGTAACGATTACGAGAGATCTGCAGGGAAAGATTAGAAAAGCATGAACAGCTACTGATTTGCTGTACTTGTATTCAAACTTACGGCCCAATCCCTGGCATCTTTAAGCCAATTTCCAAAGCGCTTCTCCTTCACAAAGTCCGGCACCCAATACGTTTGTGCATTGGAGGCCAACAGGTTCTTTGACATATGTTCCACGCGTACAAACCACGAGGGTACAGCCTTGTAGATCAGTGGCGTGTCTGAGCGCCAACAGAATGGATAACTATGCTTCACCTGTCCACTGGACACCAAATTTCCCGTAGCTTTCAACTTGTTTATGATGTTTTTGTCAGCGTCTTTAACGTACTGACCCGCAAAATCGACCGCCTCGGAGGTAAAGCGACCTGCATCGTCGACAGGGCATATAACATCGCTGGACTTTGTGATAAGGCCTGCTGCCAGGCACACACGATAATCGTCCTCGCCAAAATAAGGCGCATTGTGGACAATTCCCGTACCGGAATCCTCCGTTACATATTCATCCACTAGCACGCGGTAAGCCTTGACCTCGGCACCGCGTTTTTCGAAATAGGGGAACAGCGGCTTATAGTGGAGACCTTTGAGTGTTTGTCCCTCGAATTTCTCCAGCAACTCGTACTCTGCCTCCGTTTTATAGACATACGAAAGTCGGGACTCGGCCAATATGAAGAGACGATCGCTTTTAACATCGCGCACCTGCACATAACAAGAAATATATCTTAATTACCTTTTACCGGTAAGAATTGAGAATAAGAAAGAATTAGTGAGCAGGGCACCAAGACTTTCTTAAGAACAGAGATATATATATTTAAAAACCGAAGTTTTTCGCACCGACTATGGTTTTGATAACACATTTCGTTGGCAGATAATGCTTTCATTTTATGGGCAAGAAGTCTTTTTTCTCACCTTAACATACGTCATTGTGGGGTGCACACAACAAGCGAAATTCGATGGAAGTGTCCAAGGCGTGGTAGTCCATATAAGGAAGTAGGTATTGGGCAGCGTTACCGACTCCAGCGCAATCACCACGCAAGGATCCACAACATCCTTGTAGTTCTGATTAGCCTCAAAGTTCGATAAGGATGTTGTACATGCCGTCGAATAGGGCATCACCTTAACGCCCTGATAAACCAAGCCCTTGTCATACAATTGCTTGAAGATCCACCAGATGGACTCCATGTACCAAGGATACAGCGTCTTGTAGTCATTCTTGAAATCAATCCAGCGTCCCACGCGCGTCACAATCTTCTCCCACTCGTCCGCATAGCGCATGACAATCTTGCGGCATTCCGCATTGTATGCGGCAATACCCATTTTTGCCACATCCTCCGGACCGCGGATGTTGAGCAGCTTGTCGATTTCAAACTCCACTGGCAAGCCATGACAATCCCAGCCAAAGCGACGGTCCACATGGTAGCCCTGCTGATAGGCATAGCGTGTCACAATGTCCTTAATGGTGCCGGCCAGAATATGGCCGTAATGCGGCAAGCCGGTTGCAAATGGCGGCCCATCGTAAAAGGTGTATCTATGTACACAACAATTTCATCATTATTTTGGCTGACGCAATTTCGGACCGCATTGCCACGGGAAGTACTCACTTAGGTCTACCCTTTGAGAGCTGACTGCACTTCTCAAAAATTTTTGTCTCTTGCCACTGCTCTAGCACCGCTTCCTCTTCAGCCGGAAAATTAATGGTTTCTGGAACACGGCACAAGTCGCTGCGTTGCAGTTTCTTTGAATCGCTCATTGCGGCCAAACTGTACAAGGTTTATTATGAACAAATTCCTCGATTTAATTTAGGACAACTGCTTACCTTTTATGTCACAACCAGAATATTTATGCAGAAAATTGCTGCGATGGCAAACAACGTGCACTCAACAAATTCGCTCTCTCACCGAACGTTGACACATATGTTTGTGCTATCGATAAGCGACACGGTCTATCGATGCATGCAGCCCTAATTGTAACTGTGCACTGTGAACGCACAAACCAGAAAGAAGCAGCAGCAATGTGTACATTTTTCTGGGACCATTCTGAAATTAGCTAAATAAACAAAAAAAAGTTCTATATAGGTGAATTTAAAATCCGCACCGCATATTAAAACGTTAATTAGCGTATATAGCGCTATCAAGCCACAGTCTTTAGCGCCTCAATCGGCTTGTGTGACGACGTCTGCGTCAGCAGCGGAAACGAATATGGCACGCCCAATTTTTCCCAACCAACAAAAGATTGCCGAGAAGCTGATAATCTTAAATGATCGCGGCTTGGGGATACTGACCCGCATTTACAATATCAAAAAAGCGTGCGGCGACACAAAATCGAAGCCGGGCTTTCTCTCCGATAAGTCTTTGGAGTCGTCCATCAAGTTTATTGTAAAGCGCTTTCCCAACATTGATGTTAAGGGTCTAAACGCTATTGTGAACATCAAAGCGGAGATTATTAAATCATTGTCATTGTATTACCACACCTTTGTCGACCTGCTGGACTTTAAGGACAATGTGTGCGAACTACTTACCACTATGGACGCGTGCCAAATACACTTGGACATTACGCTCAATTTTGAGCTGACCAAGAACTATCTCGACTTGGTGGTCACCTACGTATCGCTGATGATTGTGCTGTCGCGTGTGGAGGATCGTAAAGCAGTGCTCGGCCTCTACAATGCCGCTTATGAGTTGCAGAATAATCAAGCGGACACCGGATTCCCACGTTTGGGCCAAATGATACTCGACTACGAAGTGCCGCTCAAAAAACTGCCTGAAGAATTCATTCCACATCAGCGGCTGTTAACGAACGCACTGCGCTCACTGACCACCATTTATGGGCTGCGCAACTTGCCGGCAGACAAGTGGCGCGAAATGCAAAAACTCAGCTTGGTGGGCAATCCTGCCATCTTGCTGAAGGCGGTGCGTACTGACACCATGTCCTGCGAGTACATATCGCTGGAGGCCATGGATCGTTGGATCATATTTGGCTTGTTGTTGAATCATCAAATGCTCGGTCAGTATCCGGAGGTCAATAAGATATGGTTGTCGGCACTGGAGTCCAGTTGGGTAGTAGCACTGTTTCGAGATGAAGTGCTGCAAATACATCAGTATATACAAGCCACGTTCGATGGCATCAAAGGCTATAGCAAACGCATAAGCGAGGTCAAGGAGGCTTACAATACGGCTGTGCAGAAAGCCGCGTTGATGCATCGGGAACGACGAAAATTCTTGCGCACTGCTCTTAAGGAATTGGCCCTCATAATGACAGATCAGCCAGGCCTTCTGGGACCCAAGGCCATCTTTATATTTATTGGCCTGTGTCTGGCGCGCGATGAGATCCTTTGGCTGCTGCGCCATAACGACAATCCACCCGTTCTTAAGCACAAGGGTAAGATTTTTTCAAATACAATTCATTGAAAGAAATTTAAAACTATTGCTTATAGGCAAAAGCAATGAGGATCTGGTTGATCGGCAACTACCAGAGCTGCTATTTCATATGGAAGAGCTGCGCGCTCTGGTGCGCAAATACAGCCAAGTAATGCAACGCTATTACGTGCAATATTTGTCCGGTTTCGATGCCACCGACTTGAACATACGCATGCAGAGTCTTCAGATGTGTCCGGAGGACGAGTCCATAATTTTCAGCTCGCTGTACAACACGGCTGCCAGTCTGACTGTCAAGCAGGTGGAAGACAATGAGCTGTTCTACTTTAGGCCATTCCGCTTGGACTGGTTTCGTTTGCAGACGTACATGAGCGTTGGCAAGGCTGCGCTACGAATAACCGAGCATGTGGATCTGGCACGCCTGCTCGACTCAATGGTATTTCACACTCGTGTCGTCGACAATCTGGACGAAATACTCGTGGAGACATCGGATCTGAGCATCTTTTGCTTTTACAGCAAAATGTTCGATGATCAGTTCCACATGTGTCTGGAGTTTCCCGCACAGAATCGTTATATAATCGCTTTCCCACTGATTTGCAGTCATTTCCAGAACTGCACGCATGAAATGTGTCCCGAGGAGAGGCATCACATACGCGAGCGATCCCTGAGCGTTGTCAACATTTTTCTGGAAGAAATGGCCAAGGAGGCCAAGAACATTATAACCACCATATGCGATGAGCAATGCACTATGGCCGACGCATTGCTGCCCAAGCATTGCGCCAAGATTCTGTCGGTCCAGTCCGCACGCAAAAAGAAAGACAAGAACAAGTCGAAACACTTCGACGATATTCGCAAGCCAGGCGACGAATCTTACCGGAAGACGCGCGAGGATCTAACCACCATGGACAAGCTACATATGGCGCTCACAGAACTGTGCTATGCCATAAACTACTGCCCAACGGTAAATGTGTGGGAGTTTGCATTTGCCCCACGTGAATATTTATGCCAGAATCTGGAGCATCGCTTCTCGCGCGATCTGGTCGGAATGGTTATGTTCAACCAGGAGACGCGAGAAATCGCTAAGCCCTCAGAGTTGCTGGCTTCAGTGCGCGCCTACATGAATGTGCTGCAAACGGTGGAGAACTACGTGCACATCGATGTGACGCGAGTCTTTAACAATTGCCTGCTTCAACAGACGCAGGCGCTTGACTCGCATGGCGAGAAGACTATCGCAGCATTGTACAACACCTGGTACAGCGACGTGTTGCTGCAACGAGTGTCTGCCGGCAGCATTGTGTTCTCAATCAATCAAAAGGCATTTGTGCCCATTTCACCCGAGGGCTGGGTGCCCTTCAATCCGCAGGAGTTCTCCGATCTGAACGAGCTGCGGGCTTTGGCCGAACTGGTGGGCCCCTACGGCATTAAGACGCTAAACGAGACGCTTATGTGGCACATTGCCAATCAAGTGCAGGAGCTCAAGGTACTGGTTGGAACCAATAAAGAGGTTCTGATCACACTGCGTACCAGTTTTGATAAACCGGAGGTCATGAAGGAGCAGTTCAAACGGCTTCAGGATGTTGATCGCGTCTTGCAGCGCATGATCATTATTGGAGTGATCATCTGCTTCCGCAATCTAGTGCACGAGGCTCTGGTGGATGTGCTGGACAAGCGCATTCCCTTCTTGTTAAGCTCTGTGAAGGATTTCCAGGAGCATTTGCCGGGTGGAGATCAGATACGTGTAGCCTCCGAAATGGCCTCGGCCGCCGGCTTGCTTTGCAAGGTTGATCCCACACTTGCCACCACGCTCAAATCGAAGAAGCCCGAGTTTGACGAGGGCGAGCACTTGACTGCATGCCTCTTGATGGTCTTTGTGGCCGTCTCCATACCGAAACTCGCACGCAACGAAAACTCCTTCTACAGAGCTACCATCGATGGACATTCGAATAATACTCATTGCATGGCGGCGGCTATCAACAACATCTTTGGCGCTCTGTTCACAATTTGCGGACAAAATGATATGGAGGATCGCATGAAGGAGTTCTTAGCCTTGGCCAGCTCATCGCTTTTGCGTTTGGGTCAGGAGTCCGACAAGGAAGCCACCCGTAATCGCGAGTCTATCTATTTGCTGCTCGACGAAATTGTCAAACAGTCGCCGTTTCTAACCATGGATTTGCTGGAGTCCTGCTTCCCCTATGTTCTAATACGCAATGCCTATCACGGCGTCTATAAACAGGAACAGATACTTGGCCTGTAGGGCGGGTCGTAGAGCGATCATCGTACGAGTATATTACAATAACATGAACGAGTATTTCCGTAGTTTTATAGCATTTTTTGATAATCCATACGATTATATGTACTCTATCCTTTACTGTTAAACATACCTAAAAAATTACTACTTGTCTTATTGATATGCGTGCAAACGATACTCTGCATTTACACACAGTATGAATAAAGAGCATACATATGTAAACCCAATTGTAAAATATATATTTTATTTACCTGTGCACACTGGTCCCAAATCCATATTTTTTGGCATAAACTCGAATTTACTTTGTATTTGTATATTCTGGCCGCCTAAGACGACATACCATCTTTGGTTCAATTTGGGCCACTAATTCATATAGTTGCCATATAATCGATAAGGCCTAACTTCGGTATGGGTTGAGCGCACATTACCAAACTTGGTATGTAGGCCCTCCTAGTCCCTAGTCTACACAAGTTTATTTAATTTTTTTGGTTTTCCCCCCACTCTACGTGAATACTGTCAACATTTTGAAATCTATATGCACCAAACTTTTCACACGTTCTCTTTATACAAATATCTACCTTTGTGTTAAATTTCATCCAAATCGGTTTATTTTCAGAAAAGTTAGGGGGCGAAACAATTTCACTTACTGAAGTATTGACTGCGCCTACAAACTGCAGCATCAAGTTCGCTCTTCTTCTTCTGTTTGCTTGTACTATAACGCATATAACTCAGTGCCGGAAGATTGTCGGGTACAGGTTATTTCACTATCGGGCTTACTCGACTGTACCATTTTCTATCACTCAGTGATCATAAATTTCAACACTTACTATATGTTAGCAGCAAGCCAATTCCAGTGTTTTTTTTAAATTTCTATACAGTTCGATTACAACATAGCGTGTGCTTTTTAATATAATTGGCGAAGGCTCTTACTTTTTTCAATATCAATATACTTGTAGTACTAGTATTATATTCATTTATTTTTACGTTAATTTTCTGCAATATATACTGCTGAAATGCGTTTTCTGAGTATTTGTTGCTGATCCAAATGTCAAAAATTTCTGTGTCCCCAAACCCGAGTTTTGTTGCAATAAACGTGATTTTTTCGGTTTCGGACAAAATCAAAAAGCAAAAAAATTAAATCATCGTAAAGAAGACACTTCAAAGAACAATATCGCATTCATAGTTACGAAATTCCACCTAACTTTTACTCCAGTAAACACAACTACTTTGAGGTTAAGCTCGCCTAAAACAGCACATTACAAAAACAAAGGAAAGAGCACATACACAGAACACAATTAAACATAATTGTATTAAACGTACTTTAAATTTTAATTTCCATGTTTTACTTTAATTGTTTAGATTTGATTTCCTATATTTTAAGCTTATAAAGTCAGATAACATTTTGCCACAAGCAACACCATATGTTCACTAAAATAAACAGGGCTGCACTAAGGAATTAAAATTTTGATTTCAATGACCGTGGTGGTATTTCTCTCTCGAATGCCTTTGGTGCTCAAAATGGATTTATGTGATTCGTATAAGAAACACGGAGAAGGAATGTGTTTTTAAGCACTTAGATCGAAATGAGCGATGAAGAGCTTATTTAAAGTGAATGCATTATTATTATTTTATCAATGTATATAAATGTATTTAATCAGTTATTGTTGCTAAAACACATTTTAGTTAAATGCTTCACAATATTATTAAATTAGCAATCAGCACCTGAAGTGGCTTTAGTTATACGCTTCGTAAAATAAATAATGTGATTAAAACTGCTACTATTAAAATGGCATCGGTTAAGTGTCTGAGAAACGCGAAGGAAGGCTGTGCTTTCAATTAAATCGTAAAAAAATGAGTTTCATATTCGGCGAGTGGAGTAGGACTATGATTTTAATTAAATCATAAAAATTATGTTAGATAATTAACATGATTAATCAGTTATTGGCGCAAAAAGTGGCTTTGGTGAAAATGCAAAGTGTGGAAGCCACGGACAAGAGCGCGGGTATAACGTTTATTGCTTTCACACCCAACTCATAACCTTGATTAAAGGACAATTAATATTTTTACCTTTCACAGACATGTATAGAAAAGGTGTATAAGAACATGCGCAATCGGTGCGAATTTTCTGTAGTTTTTAAACAAACCAGTATTTACAAACATTTGAATTTATAAAGTTAATAACAGACTCGACATGTTATTAGAGAGACAATAACTGATGAATCAAAACTTTAACAATGACTGAGTCACGTGGTACAGCTTAGATCCCGAGAATCTTTCAACCAGACATTCACTAAAGAAGTTAAAACAGTTTGACTAACACATGTCTGTGGTGAAGATGATTTTCATAACTTGGAGCCGATCGAATCAGGCTCTCTTTGTATTGGAAACAATGTAAGATATTGTAATTCTAAAACAAATTTAATTTTAGGCAAGTGTTAAACTCACCAGTTATTAAATTTTCCTTGAGATGTTGTCTTATTTCACCGATTTGTATCCATATTATGGATGGTGGGATCCGTCGCAAAAAACAGCACACACAAATTGGTTTCAAATAATTTGCGTACATATGTTTATTTTAATGTTATTTTTTAATTGGTTTTTTGTTGTTAATGTTGTGTATATGTTTAATTTATGTGTATGCTTTAATTCATTTTATTTTAAAGGGAAAAAGTTTCCGCAATATTAAATTATTTGGTCACGTTCAATGTTTTCTCTTACGTTTAGTGTACAAATACTTGTAGGTAGGTAATAAAATATGTTCTTGTATTTATCCATGCGATTTCGTTTGCGAATACCCTTAGTACTTGTGTAAAGTTTATTCAAGAATTCTCAATTCCACTACAAGGATTTTTGTTCGATTATCATTTTACTTTAATGCTTGCACTCGCTTACGCTGCGGAAAGTTCTTTTCAAAAAGTGGATTTGATTTTTGATTATTTTTGCGTGCATTTATGTCTGGTTATTTTACTGGAGTTTTAGATTTATCAAATTTGTATTTTCATATGTTAATTTTGTCTATTAAACTGTGGTTAATAAAACCAGGAATATGTTTGCTGTGGACCATTCTGTCAAATAATGCTCTAAAAATAATTAAAAGCGTAGCGTAAAATAAAATAAATATTTACCATTTTTTCTTTTTCTTAAACAAAAAAGTAAAAAAATGATGTAAAAATAAATATTGTCCATGATATGGTCTACTTAGAAGAAAGACTATCTCAAATAAACACTTCCCGATTGATTTAATATTTGTTTAATTTGTCTAAATAAAATTTAAAGTTTCTTTTATACAATGTTATAAAATGTGTGATTTCATCCAATAACAATTAATAGTTGGCTATTTATTTTATTGTGTTTCGCCTAGAATAACTTTCTAATATTTCTGATATTTATAGGCTGAAGGGAAATCATAAAATCGTTTCATTAAAAGGTCTCCTAAAGGGTTTATTTCGAGTTTTACAAATTGTTTACTTTAACTCAAACGCGAAAAATAATATTTAAATCGGATATAAACTAGATAATATCTCTACAAATTATTGGTTATGCTCCAGTATGCTTCAATTACGAGTATGTATGATGTACCGCTTTTACTACCATCTGTTGCTCCAAGCCATCAAAGATAGTATTCGTAACTTATTTGCAACTGCATGTCGTTAATCATAAAATTATTGTTATCTACATATTTAAATTGCATTTATTTATAAACATGGCAATTGATTGCAATGCATTTTTTCAATATTTTACTAGGTTTTATATTATTTGCGTTTAGTAAGATTTCGTTTAAATATTTTGTTGCTGAAAATGTTTTTGTTGCAATCGTTCAGTCAGTTTAGGCATCTGTTGACTTTAAATTTGTCGTCATTGTCTTTTGGTTTTTCATACAAAAAATATACGAAAATTTAAATGAAAACAATCTGCATTTGTCGATTTCTCCCATTTTCTTTTGAAACAAAATCGCATTGGTTGCTATACTTTTACTCATACTCATACGTTTTTAAAGCTCTCAAGTACAAAAATCGTTTTCAAATAAAAATAGCGTAAAAAATTTGACGCGCCACGTACACGTATTGAAAATTTCTTATCTGTGTTCGTTCTAATGCTAAGTTGACATTTATGTTCAATAATTATCAATAAATTTGTTTTGTTTTGTTTTGTCGGACATGCCCGCTTCTTTGTATATAAAAGTTATTTAAGCCTACAGATACATGTACGTATTTTTTGTATTTATTTATGTGTGTTTGTTGTATGTATGTCTATTTGTATGTGTTGCGTGCATGCGTGTAAGTCTCTCTAAATTTAGTTGCTGGTTCTCTAAACAAACTCCTCCTGCTCCAGCCAGGGATGTTGCAGGCACTCGGCTGCTGAGGCGCGGATGACGGGATTATACTCCAGCATGGGCAGTAGAAAGTCTGAAAACTTCTTCGCTTCCACTGGATCCCAGTCATACTTCTCAATTAGCACGTTCAGTAGACTCCAGGGTTTGAGTTTTGTGATGTTCCTCAAGCTTCCTGCGAATGGGGATGAAAACAAGACATTTACTAATTAACTAAAACCGAATTTGTGACAGAACACTTTTGAATCCTAAATGCGATTTATCTATGTGTTCAATTTTATAATCTAAAATAATGTACGATCGTAAAAAATCTTCAATTAAAGTAGAAATTCAGATTAAAACCCTATTTCTTTTTCTTATAGAAAATCCCCAATTGAATAGGAATAATATTCAAAGCTCTGGAAAACCTATTTGCGTTTTCCAAGACCGCACAGATTTAGGGATATTTCTTATGTGTATATATATAAAGCACTAAATTCTACTTACAATGTACAAATGAAATTATATTTATGGGAGAGATCGAATGGAACGCTCTTCAGTATTCCAAAAATTTTATTCTATTTTATGAGCTTTTAAATCAAAAGGGTGTCTCGTTCTTAGTAAATCTAATAAGTGTATGGTAACATAAATTACGTAAATTGAATTAATTTCGTTTTAATAAAGACAATGGAGGAGTTCAAGTATGGGAAATTGTAAAATCCATATTGGAACCATCCCATTGAAGATATGATACACGTCTCTAACTTACCGTAGCTCGTGAAGTACTTAAGACCATGCTTGCCGCGCAATATCACCGACTGGGGTATGGAGCCCAATAGCTCGACAATGTGCGCCAGATGGTCCTCATCGCGTGTATAGCTCTCTCCCGCATGGGGATCGAACAGATAATCACCGGTGGCCAGTTCGAAGGCCAGACAAGCAGTGCTCCATATATCGGCGGTATAGTTATAGGGTGCCCCCAACAGGACTTCAATGGAGCGATACTGACGCGTCTGTATGTCCTCGGTGAAGTGATGGTACTGATGGGGAGAAGGGAATTGGGGTATCCAGATGAGTTGTATGGAATAGAGCTATGATATAGCACTACAAGTAGGTAATTATACTCACATCGTAGCACGCATTGCCCAGATCGGCGATCTTCACCCGAACGTTGCTGTTGTTGATGAGCGATTGTATCGTATGCGTGTAGGATTGGTTTTGACTTTGATTCTGCGAAGGAATTGCATTGGCATTGGCATTGACATTTACATTTACATTTACATTTAGTTTAGCTGTGCTTGTTGTTGCTGTGCTCGACGTGCTTGTTGTTGTTGTCGATGGTATTATTATTGTCGAACTGATAGTTGGTGTTGTTCTGGTTGCTGATATTGTATTGTCTTTGCTAAGCTCACTACTGCCATTACTGTTGTTGTACAGCTCTGTGGTTGCAGTTGCAATGGTTGCAGATGTTGTTGTTGTTGTTGTTGTTGTTGTTGTTGTAGGCATAAGATGCGTAAACGTGTACGTGCACGTGCTTAGACTGCTTGGAGGTGCATTGGCGGAGTTGGAGCAGGCAGCGGGGAAGCAATTGTTTGTATTCGTGTCGATGGTGTGTTGGGTGTTGTTAATAATGGACGTGCACGTGCTTTGGATATTTGTGTAGGAGTTGTTGGTGTTGTTGGAGTTGGAGTTGTTGCTTGTGGCATTGGGCAGCTGCTTTATATATATATATATTTTTTTTTTTTTTTTTTTGATTTTTCGATCACACAAAGAAAGAAAAGAAGAAAGAAGAAAACACATTTTTTTTTTTGTTTTTGTTTTTGGTGCAATGCTAAGAACACACAATTAGAAAGGGTAATCAGTGATGCTACAATTGCATATGAAGATCACACACAATCACAACATATATACTTGTATTGTTCTATTTAGGAGCTTCAAAGTCAAACCATAATCCTTATTCCATTTTATAATTTAAGTTATTTAGTTATGGTTTGACCTTGCAGCCCCCCATTAGAAACCCTTAACAACATTCAGAACATTAATAGGCTGTGAAATAAGTTATAGGTATTAATAATATTATTATTATTCAGGCGCAAATTATATGTATCCAAAAATGTTGGGATTAAGCGTGTTAATTCGTCTAAATCCATTACCACTACCAGCTTAACGCACAAAAACATTGAAGCATTAAAAATATTTGCTTTATTTGTCTGGGTATTGCAGTGTAGTATTCGAAATGTTTATTTAATTAATCAAATGACAAATTAATTAGCTCTACAAGGCCTTTGTTTGTGAGGTTGTATCCACTTAATTCTGCCTAAAACGGAGTAGCATCTTAATATGCTTTCTTAGTAGACAGACGTAATGTGTTGTATGTCTTTCCAGCTTGTAATTAAGCTTAAAAGTGGCTATAAAACGCTGGAAAATATGTTGGTGGCAAGTAGCTAGATATTCCACTGGGAAAACAATTAATTCAATAATTTCTTTTATTGAGTTCGAAAAGCGTGAATATAAATAATGAAGAGAGGCTTCAACCAGTAGACTCATTTAAATATAAATCCATCTACTAATACATTTGAAGATCATAAACTGCTTCCTAGTTCGAAACTTGTTTTTTCTAACAGCTTTGCTTATTATTGAAAAACACATGTCTTTAAAATGCTTTATTTTGTATGATTTTTTTTAGAAATAATATAAATATTATTGGCAATTTTTCAAAAATGGAAATATTCAAGAGAAAAATCGTGCAAACTGCTGACTTACACTTTTCATTTAAATGCGCTAATTTTCAAATTCTTCCACCTAATTTTTGTTTATCAAACCTCATCCTCAAGAAAGGCCTTGCTTTGCATGGATTTGTGAAATTACGAAATAAGGATTGGTAAAGCAAGTAAAGGCGACAACGAATGAATGTGAAAGGATCAACTAAGCAATAAACAACACGCAGGGTAGTCCATAAAGCCGAGGCAGGCGAAGAAGCTAACTACAGTGGAGCCTCTGTTGGCAGACAGTCGGCCCACGCCTGCACTCGGCCATGTGGCCAACAAAAGCACAAAAGGAACGAGCGTCAGAATCAGATAATAGCCTAAAACCGGCAACCACTTGGGCAGCCCCATTACCTTATCCGTATTGTTAACGTCAACGTTACTTGTACTTAGACTAACGTCGTTGTTGTCGGTAGGCGTGTCGCTGGCTATGGTGGTGCTATTGTCACCGGTATTGACAGTATCGGTGTCAGTGTCATCATCGTTGTCGATAGAAGACTGTGCAGGAAACGTAACAGAAAATGACAAATTTCAAAGAAAACATAAGATAACAAAATAATAATCAGAAGAATAAAATTGTTGTTGCTGTGTTGCTGTGTGGAATGCAGTGTTACATATATTATATATATTATTATAAAGGTGGATTATTTATACAGTTTCACGCACGGTAATAGATCACAAACATCGTGTCGAGAGTGCAAAATGCTGTACCATCGTCAAACTGACGTGACACACAGAACGTGAATGATTTTGGCGCTGTCAGGTGTTCGCATGTCTGTGTCTGTATCTGTGTCTGTCTCGACTCATCACCTGTCTAGGACACTCACCTTGGCAGTGATTTTCTTCTCAGCACGATAACGATTATTTAAATTCGAGGTTCCTCCGAGAATGGGACTTTCAACGCCACCCAGACCCATTAGGCCGCCGTTACACTCACTGTCGCCCAACAGACTCGAGTATTTCGATGCCAGTGACGATGTCGTGTTTGAGTTAAGTGTGGAAGATGTTGTGTCATCCTTGTCCAAGGACGACATCACAACGGCCGCCAGCGGAGTTGATGAAGTCGAATTGTTCGCTGTGCTGTTGCTCGTGTTCGTTGACCCATTCGGTTCGATGAGCGGCCACTTGGCTCGGGTCTTCGTTTGCTTCTCAATGGAGCTGACTGCAATGAGAGAAGGACTAAACCAATTAGCTTTAAATTGAAATAGGAAATGAAAAAGAGCCATATAATCAAACATTTTCCTCGATCCTCCATGGGATTCCCATTTCCATTCAATGTAGAACCCCATTAGAATACTTGGAAAGAGTTTAGTCTTTTTAGCTCAAATATTTCATTTCCGACAAGACATAGGCAAGAAAATTAACATTCATAATCAGCAACCAATTTTGAAAGGATTTTTACTCACTATTTGAGATAATTCTTATAATAATGGATTGGCCATTCAACTGAATTCAAACTCCTAAAGATGAACACGAAACAAAATCTTCTTAATTATGCTTTGTGAAGGACAAAAGACTTGAACTGTATAAAATGGAAGGAACTGGGCATAAAGGAATGATAATCTCCAGCAATAAATACTGATTAATAAAAGAAATTTGAAATTGAAATTGATTTCTTCATTCTTCTAATACTCATAATATTAATGATGATGAGCTTATTTGTGGGTTAAGGTATAATAAGCAATTTAAGGATAGTTTGGTAGAGTATATAAGTCATATGTCTTCCTACAAATGCCGTCTTTCAACCGCTCATTTGATTCGAATGGTTAGTTACTCAGAATCAATTACTTACTATATGAATCTGGAAAATCGGCGCCCTTCACACGCAAACTGTTGATCTCATCGTCGATTTGCTGATTCATCGCAGCCGCATTGTCGATGACCAGCAGTATGTTCTCAGGTTTAATATCCGTGTGTATGATGCTGCACTTGCTGTGTAAGTAATCGAGGCCCTCCAGCACCTGTTTGATGATATTGCGAACCTGTGCTATGGCTAGTCCCTGGTAGTTATTCTTCACGATCAGCTTGTAGAGGCTACAACCTAAAGCCTCGAAGACCAGGCACGTGTGGACGCCATTCACGCCACGTACTGTGAAATGATTTAGCAGCCGGACAATGCGCTCCCGTTTCATATCCAATGGATCCGCATCGCGTATGGCCTCCAGCAGACGAATCTCATCCGCCGCAGTCTCTATATAGTGTGGAGCACTCTTCACCACCTTCAGCGCCACATACTTTTCATCTCTGTGTATTAGGAGGGGACAAATTAGAGAGGCTGTTTGTGAAGTTGCAGGAGTACATACTTGAGATCTCGGCACAACCACACTGTGGAGAAGTGGCCCCAACCCAGTTTGCGCACCACACGAAACCGATTATCGAATATGTCGCCAATAACAACCGGATGATAGCCGCCACGACAATATTGTGAAGCGTCCTCTTGCTCCTCATCAGAGCCGTAGAGGCTGCTATCCGGCGAATCGGGGTAGATTTCATCTGTGGTGCTCAGCGTACCGCGTGGTTCCGAACTGTAAATATATCGAGAAATTAATAGATTGTATTTCAATAAAAAAAATTTGGGTTCTTCATTCTTAGGCGCATTCAAATTTCTTTCTACATTGAATATTACTTAAACATTTTTAAATCTGATTACTGAGTATTAGGCTTATAATTCCCTTATTAAGAAATTTTCTCTTTGATTTCGTTTGGACTTCTAAGTGTGACTGAAAGAATATTATAATCTGGACATGCTTGCCCGTTTTGATCAAAATACTTTTATATGTTTACCCATCCCTCTGAGGCGACACTCTAGAATAACATTTCTCGATCTTTGCTCTAAATACAAGATAATTATGAAACAAAAATTACTTTTTTCTAGACAATAGCTGTACCATTGCACTGAAAATGCTCATGAAATATTCTAAAGTTCAACAGTGTTTAAGGCACACCCTCTAAGGGAAAGAGGTCCTAGTTCAAAACTCCCCAAAATGTAACACACACAGACACACATGAAAGCTACAATATCATCCAGATCCTGTGGCTGCTGGTCCTGTTTCGGCAACTGTTCCACTTTGGCAACTGGCTGCTTTTCCACCACCTGGGGCGGCAATAAAATGGTTAAGGGCTGCTCTCTGGGTGGCAAGTAGTTCTCTCCTGCTGGTGGCAGGACCACCACTCGTTCCCTCGGCGAAACAGGCTCAAAGTCGAGCAGTTGGCGCTTCGACTTGGGTCGCTTCGACTGATGTTGCTGGCGGAGCGCAATAAGAATGGGACCGGCAGAGACGCATTTGCGCTTTTTGGTGAATCGTTTGCGACGTCGCTTCTCCTCCACCTCCAGCAGCGCCTCGCTGGCTGCCTCCAGAGCAGCGCGCTTCTCCTGCTCGGTTATGAAATTGTAATCGCAACTGAGTCGCTTGGTAATGTCGGCGTTGATGGGCAGCACATCTTTGGGGGCCACTGCGTCAGAATCGTTGTTGTTGTTGCTGCTGCTGCTGCTGCTTCTCACGCAGTGCATGATGTAGAGGAAGAGCAGCAAGAGGCAGGCCTGGAGGCCGTACACAAATAGCTTATCCTTGGCGAGAGTATCGATGATGCTACCCAGCAGCAGACTCAGCTGCAGCATCTGGATTCGGATCAGTTGAGTGTAGTGTACATAGTCTTGTCTGACTGCTGGCCAGTATTCCAGCCAGAGTTGTTGCAACTGCCATAGAGCATTTGTGGTGGCATTGGCGGCCTCCTTGGGGCAGATTTGCGATCCCATTTCCCCTCCTGCCTCGCCAAACGTCCACCAGCTGTCAATGGCGGCCATTTAAACGGATTGATGTTTTCCTCACTTTTTCAAAACTTGTGGTCCGTCTATATCGGATTTTCGCGCCTACATTGCATCGAGTGCAGTAACGAGACCGACACGGACACAGAGACGATTGTAACGGTAATGACGATGATGACGAAGACGAAGACGACGACGACAACGGCGCAGTGACCTTGACTTTCGCATGCGTTTGGCTTACATTAGTTTTCGCATTGTTTTTCCTTTCTTTTTCACATCACTTTCCAACACCTTACATAACACAAATCGCACGACTTGCGGGTGTAAATAAATAAATCGCACTATATACAAGTAGTACACCAACAAAGATTTCTTTCTGAATGTTATGACAAAAGTATCTTTCGATTCGATTTTCCTATGCTGGCGGCAGCGGCGGCGGCGTTCTTCAACTGTTTCGTTCCGAAGCGTCGACGAAAATGTTGAAAAGAATTTTTGTTTTCGTATTTCAAGTGAGCGAACACAAAAATGTTTGCATATACTTGTACATATGTACATTTGTATGTATTTTTTGTTTTTATTATTTTTTTGTCACAACTAAGTTTAGGAACGCTGCCTGCTGTTGCTGTTGTTGCTTCGCTCAGCTGTGTGCGCTCTCTAGCCATAGCGGCGCTCGGCCTCTGAATTTCCACACATCCAGCACTTATATATAGATCGTTTAGCACATTTTTATACTCGCATATGTATTTGCACTATACGTATGCACTATACTCGCATGTATATACATGTGTCGGAACTTATCTGTCTTCTGGCGTCATTATCCAATGTACTTCATCAACTCGTCTTTGTCGTCCACATTGCTGCCAAGTGCCGGTTATGGCGCAAACTACAGCACCCATACATGCACACTTATTGCTATGTATGTATGTACATACTTGTATGTATGTATGTGGGGTCCGAAACATCATCATCACGCACCTCATTGTGATTGTAGCTGCGGATTTCTTAGGCTCGGTGCCAAGTTTGCCTTCGCCTATATACTTGTACTCAAACAAATTGTTTTAATCCACTATGCAGGAGGGGCACTCGAGCACGATTACATTTTGCAAAGGACAAGGCTATATTTCCTTCTTTGGCAGGCTACTGAAATTCTTCACTTTAGTTATTTATTGCCTTTTGTGGAATTGTGTTAGGTAAATCACATCTTGCACTTGTTCCAACAAGCTTTATTTAACAAATAACAAGCAATTGGAAACAAGTTGAAACAAGCTTCATTTTTTCTGCACATAGTCCAAATTTATCTTGATGCATTCTTTCCAGCTATGTTTAATAGCTTCAATACCCTGTGTATTGTCTTAATGATACATTCCGCCAATTCATTCGCATCACTCCACACGATGGTTTCATGTTTTATCTATGGTTATGAATCGACGCAAAAACTCGGCTTTATTGTTTGATTGAAATATTTACAGTCCAGCACCAGTTTGTGGTTTTTCTTGACCATTTCTGACCTTTCCATCTCATATATTACATCGATTACCACAAGAATCGTTTGGCAGCTCACCCGGCCCTATTAAAACTTTTCCTCTCCACATTTTACTGTTGTAAAGGAAGAAGCTGACTCTCCCAAAATTGGTTAAAATGAGATAGTATTTTAGTATTTTTCCATCCAAAAACTATTTAACTAGGCACTTAAGTTTTAAAAGGGTGCGTACTCTATAGCACATTTTTTCATTTTAAGAAAATTTTTACCATCTTTATAAAAAAAAAAAACAATTCCAGAGAAAAAAATTTCATCGTGGTAGCTCGAAAACTGTACAAAGAGCTCTTGAAACAGGCGGACGAAGAGGCGAACATCGCTTTTTGAATTTTCCTTGTATTAATGGTAACATGCAACAATTGTTTTATTTTAATAGGCATATAGGTATATGCTTAAATGTAATAAGGTAAATAGCTGCTCTTTAAATTATTTCAACAATCGATGTTATTTATTTTCACCCATGCTGGGTAATTCTCGAATTGCGGACTTCAATTAGGGCTTAAGCCAAAATACGACATTTTTAAATGAATATTTTCGAAAGGGTTATAGAAATAAGCTTTAAGTGAACACTGATGATTAATCTAGACAAGACAGACAACGAAACATATATGACTATTTCAATACCCCGGTAGGTCTAATGTTTAAACTAAGGTCATTAATTGATTGATTTATTTACAAAATTTGCTGTATCCCAAATCATTTCGGTTTGGGGCTTTTAAGGAACTGATTTAGTTTAACTCACTATAATCTGATGTTGATCATCTTTGCGATGCCAGCAGCTTAATTCAACTAACGCCTTAAATCTCATGCTATTCATTCAAGACGCTAATTGGCCATGATGCCAACTCTATATTTGTATTACACACCACGCACGATATTGTTCGTTGGGGCTGGTTCATCAAGTGACTAAACGAACAGAATTTATTGATTTTATTTTCCCTACTCCAACTTAAACCATTCTTTGCTCCATTCAAACTTTTTATAGCTGTTGCTTTTTACAAAACACTTGCGCCATGACTCACCCTAATGCAATTGCACAAACACACACACATTGCTGCTGGCTACCTTTGGTTCTTTGTTTGTTGTTGTATGTGCTCGAAAAAATTCAGTATATGCGCCGGTTGGTGCGTTGCCTGCTTCCGCAATATTATTATTTATAGACGACGGACGGGGCATATATAAAAACAATAAATCGCTGATAAATGAGTGCAGAAACAACAAATGCGCATGACTTTCTCGATGTATATCAGTGTATGCATGTGTGTGTGTGTGTGTGTATGTTTGTGCTAGAAAACGTCATCGTTTGCTTGAGTGCAATGAGTGTGTGTTTGTGAGCCAAGAAAGTAAGACTGCGGGGGGCATGGCATCGTTTGGCGTCACGTGGCTATTTTGTGGTTACAGAAAATTAAAAACGTAAACAAACCCCAAACGCATGTCGAAGAGGTCGCTCAGTGGGCGTAGGCGTTAGGTTGCGTGGCCCTGCTCGGCCCTGCGTGTCTGTGTGGGAGTCACGTAAAGTTCACTGTGCGCCGCAAATAGAACAAAACACACATACACATGTGCATATATGTATATTTAAATACGTATAGTATGTATGAATAATAGAGAAATTGTTATCCCATTTTATTGCGCATCGTGGGTCGAGAGTGACACAAAAAGTCAATCTGCGTCATTTTTTAGAAATCAAGTATATTACTTATTGAATATTCAAATTTGTCAAATGACAAGCATTAGCTTATATTTTATTTGTATTTAAATCAATATAGAATAAATATATAAAACTGCCTCTCTTTCTCTGCCTGAGTCACATCAAAAGAAATTCTGATTCTGCTTAATGCCTATAACCTTAATAAAGAAACGGGTGGGGCAATAAAGGGACAAATAAAAAGAAATGATTTACGGGCTTGGCCAGCAGCCTCTAATTCTAATACTAATAATATGAAAGTTGCACACTTTATGGATTAAAGCTGAAAGCCAAAATGGATCAATTATTCGAAATTTTCGTGCCTGTTAAATTTGTTTAAATTGCAGTCCAATGAAAATAATTTGTAGCTAAAGTTGCACGTCTATTATAACACGAAAGGTTAACAAAAATGCTAAAAAATAAGCATAAACCTTTAAACTCTATACTGACACTTATTTTTAGTACATTCCAAACCACAAAAACAAAAGTTACTAATTCTTTTATTGGGCTTATTCCAATTACCGCTTAAAGCAATCAATCAATTTTAATATCTACCTGTTAAGGGTAATTTAGTTCGAGATAGACGTGGCCTAATTAAGTTTTCTTTTGTTCCTTTAAGTTCTACGACAGAAATGAAAGGTTGCAGTTTGGTGGATTTTGATTGATTGATGAGAGGCTGCCTGTCAGAAGAATATACTTTTTATGTACAAGTAGTCTGGCAGGTGGCTGACATTCTCATACAAGCACATTATAAGATGGGGCGTAAGTTTTTTGAGCCTACTTGTATTACAAATTGCACATTCTAAACATTCTTTTGAATCGATATATGCCTAAAAAGGCAGTCCTGCGCGAAGTCCATCATTACAAATCGTTACCCAAAAAGTATGCTATGATTTGTATTTTCTTCAATTTATTCCGCTTGGCCCACTGTACACGTGGTGGGAAACCAAACACTTGGCCGGCATATCAACGCAGAAATTAAAAGGTGCTTTGAAGCTCGGTGAGCTTAATTGACAGTTGCCCTACCAAGAATTGCTGGCATTTGACACACATGCCGTATGCGTAATGTCAAATAATTAAAGCTAAATGATGTTAATCTAAAAAACCACAACACTCTTTACGATACTCACAGGCTGACGAAGGGGCCGCGGAGGGCGGGCATGTCCCGACGCCGATTAAGTGGCGGCGACAATGACAGGGACAGAAAGTCCTGCTGCGCCTTGTCCTCGTCCACTAGGCTTGTCGGCGTGCTGTAGATGCGCGTCGTTGGCAGATAGCCAATCTGCTGGAGAAAATCGTCGCGAAACGACAACTTGGTCGTCGACTGCGAAGTGGTGAGGGAGGATGCATACAGCAGGGACGAGGGCGGTGGAGAGGCGGCCACCGTGGACAGAGACATCGGTTGGTGTGGCCCGACGCCCGAATGATGATGCAAGTGCAGATGATGATGCGAAGATGTGAGCGGCGGTGGCGTCGGCGTGGCATGTAGCGTTGGATGGAAGTGCGGATAGGGTATGGGTGAGGGCACCACACCTGTGCCATAATGTCCATGCCCCAGATAAGGCGGCGCTATGATCTTGTCATCAAAGCTGCGCCGGAAGCTGAAACCCTTCAGTGTATTACTGTAGTTGCGATGCGACAGTGGCGAGCTGCCCAAGTCTATCGACGCGGCCGGTCCCAGCAGCTTCATGGTGCTCAGATAATTGCTGGTGGCGGCCGCTGCGGCCGGACTCAGCGTCTGGGTCTTCCCGCTGGCCGTTGCAGTCGCGCTGCCCAGCATGCTGAGTGCCGGTGAGGTGCGCAGCTGCTGTGGACTGCCGCTGCTCACCACAGCGGTTGATGTGGCTGCCGCTGCCGCTGCCACTGGTGTTGTCGACAGAGGCACGCTACATGCCGAATTCGCAGCCGACAAGGGCGGCGAAATGGCCGAAAGCGTCGAGATGCCGCTGTCGCTGCTGCATATGCCGGCCGGCAGAGGCGTGTGTGTGGGTGAGATAAGATGCGCCTTGTAGCTGCTGCTGCTGACGCTGCTGCAGTTGTTGCCGCTGCCGCTGCCGCTGCAGACGCCTGCGTTGGCTGCGCTGGCGATGCTGCTGCTGTTGTTTGGTAAAACGGGCGCCAGCTTTAAACGCTCTGCTGCTGCTCAAAATCTGGAAACGAATTGCTGCCTTAACTGTTGTAGTTGTTGTTGCTGCTGCTGCTGTCGTCTTTGTTGCTGCTGCTGCTGCTGCTACTGCTCTGCCTAGCTGCTGCATGTCCTGTCCAAAGTCATTGTCCACATCATTGTTGCCTTTGTGTGCTGCTCTTTGTTGTCAACGTCATTTCTCAGCAAGACGAGCGATTGAGAGCTTTTCTTTCAATTTTTAGCATACTTTTGTGCGTGGCAAAAATCAATTAAACATTCACACCTTCAACACGCTTTTTTAATGCATTTTAAGCAGTTTTCTTTTTATCGCTCTGCCTTCTAACCCAAATTGCGCATAAAAAATCGACACACACTAACACACACACAGCAATACACACACGCATTGAAATTTTTCCACTGCTCTGCTATTGCTTTTCTTTAGCTTTTTCTTTTTTTTTTGCTTTTTTCTCGCACACCGCCTTTCAACGTCTCAATTAAATGCTCGGCGACGCGCCTCCGTCGACATGCAAATTGATTTGCATTGAATAATTAAACGCCGCACGTTTCCGCTTCGAATAAAGTTACATTTTTCACATTTATGCTGCAGCAAAAAACAGAGGAAGGAAAAAATATAATTGCTGATATTTATGCTCTTTTTGCCTTTAATTTTCACTTCGAACTTTGGCGATGCGCGAGGCCCGAACCTTCCGACTGGCTTTCGGTTTCTGAGTGTAGAAGCCACTTCATCGAAGTTTCGAGCCACTTACTGCGTCCGGCCATCAAACTCTCTCGCTCGCTCTCTATTTTCGCGCTTTCGCTCACCATCTCTCCATTGCCTGCGCATGTGTCGGCTTAGCGTTACCGTTACTGCGAACGTACCTTCGGTCAAGCAAAACAAAGCGAGAGCACGATTGGACTCTCTGGCCAACTGGGCGCACAAAAGCTAACGGCTGTCAGCTGTCAAATTACCCCACCAGGCCCCCAAAACAGTCTCTCGCTCGCATTCAACTTCTTTGTTTGTTTACTAAAAACGAATACCGCCAAGCACGGCCAGCAACACAAACAACTACAACAAAGAGCAGTAAATCCAATAGAGAGTGACTGGCAAGAAGTTTTGGTTCTTTCTTGGTTGAGCTTTGAAAGACACTTTTTTGGCAAGACCCGTCCTCTTACCACACTGCTGCCCAAATAAATAGAGACCATTCAGCTGCCCCGAAATATATGCTAGAGAATATTGAAAACACTCAATTTTTCATCAAAGAATCACTTCCGCATACATATAAAATACTTCTTAAAGTGAAAATCTATATGGGACACCAACCCGTCATTAATTAGAAACAAAGCACCATTTAAACTACAAATGAATTGTGCAATGCTTAAATCTAAAAACATCGACTAAAGCTATTTCAATTCGACATTGTTTTTTATAACGAAAGGACAACAAAGCTGCTATTTCAAATATGAATAAATATGTATATGAAAAGTTGTTAATTGTTAAAATTTCGAACTCATATTAAAACAGTTAATATTATTGTGTATTTGGAAATATTAAATTTTATTCTTGTAAAATTATTCTGGGTCTGTACTTGTATATGAATTTCGTTTGTACATATTTTTGATGCAATTGTACGTCATTATCATGTCAAAGCATTAAACATGTTATTAAAAAGTCCTGACTGAAAAGTTTTAGCTATGTTTTGAAAGCAATAGTTGGTTGTCTAGCAATCAAATCGGTATTTAAATTGGTAGTTCAAAAGAATTAAATAAATAACCTTTGTCCGCTCTACACCTACCAAAAACGATCTTCAACAGAATTGTTTTCTTTTTTTAATCCACTTTATAGGATTTTTCATTAAAAGTTAAATAAAAATCTTAAAAACTGCATTATTTGTCTTATTGAGATTTCAAATTGAAATTTAAAATATCACTATTATTCATTATAACAAAAATTATTTAGATTCCAAATTGAAATTGAAAATATCACTACTATTCATTATAACAAAAAGATATTCTGTAACATGTTGCGGAAGTGGTTCTTGGTTCAACCTTATGATTCAGTCTCCATTTCATCAATTCAATATTGGGTGCATCCCCAAACTCATATCAAGGTCATTAAAAGATTGGTATATGTGTATAGTAAATTTATTAATTTCTTTCTTCAATTTATGTATTTCTGTATTGGTATATTTTATCATGAAAACAATCATTTTAATGTTATATATTGTTTTATATATATAATTACATACATTTCTTTCTGGTTGTTAATTTTAAATGTACCTTCTATTTATTTTGTTGACGAACAATAAATACACACACAAATTTTTGAAATGTAATTATCGTAAATGAATTTTATATATAAATTATTTTTGCTCTTTTATAATTGATATTAATGATATTGAATGAATGATATAACATTTGGTACTAATTGCAATCATTTACATGAAGTGTTTTTTATATATTTTATAATGACATAAATGAGAGCAATGCAAAACCAAATGAAGAAAAGGTAATGACATCGAAATTTGTTTAACAATAGGTTTGGACGAAAAATCAGTGCTATGTGCCATAACTTTGGAACGTACTTTCCGTACTTTTTCTTCAAATAATATGGGTAAGTATACTGTTTAAGACGGGATGTATTCGTAATTCTCATTAGAGTACGTATTTTGTATTTTCCAAATCCAATTGGAGTTTGAATGTATGCCTACATATACTCGTATGTATTATTGTTTTTGCATCGTTTCAAGTGCTTGACTTATCACTTATATGTGAAATGTAATATTTGACTTTGTAAGATTTCAATTTCGTTTGTAGTGTGCTGATTGATTTTAATATTTACCACAAGAATAATTTCAACTCATTAGAAAAATAATGTCTTTAACAACGGTTTTCTGCTCTCTCTTGCTAAGGTAAAGAAAGCTACATCCCATGGACATACACACAAATGCAACCTAAATGATTTATAAATATATATATATATATATTATAGCATTTTTATTAGCTTGCTATAACTTTAGAAAACACCTTGAACGCCTTACATATTTGTTTTTATATATGCAAGTATATATGTATAATTTAGTTTACAATTCAATTTGTCAAGCTTTAGCTTAAATTTATTGTAATTAGCTCAATATAGATTTTTGTTTGTCAATAGTTGTTAATCTTTTTATGTATTATACATATTGAAATTTATTTATATAATTAATGCACTTTACACAAAACAAAGTACAAGTCTAAATATGCAAAAACACTTTAAGTAAATGACTAAGTAAGTAATACATATTAAAGATTTGTTGCTTTCAATTTAATATACAAGTACAATTTGAATGGCTAATTAGAGTTGAATGCTTCAATGAATGACAAATGTATTTATCTGTTTTTATATATATGTATGTATGTAGGATTATGCGTACAAATTCAGACAATTATAGACGCACACAGATCTGTGTTGTTGTTGTTGTTGTGTATGCGAAGTTTGTCATCAATTCTGTTCGCAGCTGTTTTGGTTGATTTGTTGGTTTTATTATAAATATTTATATACCTACTATATCCTCTTACAGTTTCAACAACTCAAAAATATTTATTCTTAATCAAATACGCACACTAAAACAAATAAAGGGTGACTAATTTTTCAATTTCTGCTCAGTTGCAATCGACAACATTCACTTGGTTTTCTGTGAACTGAATCCGTCGACTCGCTGCCTCGCTTTGTGTAAATTTTAAAGTAAATTAACAATATGTATATCTTAGACAAATACATGTTGATATACTTATATGTATATGTAGTGTAGTTTTTCCTTCTATTTTTGTTGTATAAAATTATTTCGTAATTTTTCTGTTCAAAAACATACGCAATGATTGGGCTTGATTCGCTTGTTGTATGAGTCTAATATTTTTGATTAACCATATCTAGATACGAAAGAGAGGGAGAGAGAGAAGAAATAGAGTAAAGGTGAGCACAAATTAAGATGAAATTTGAATTAACTAAACTATACATGTATAGTACTTATGTACACTACAAATGTGTGTAAATGAAGCAACATACAATTAACTTAAAAGGGCAAATGTTAAGTAAAGTCTACAGCTTTAGTTAGTGATAATGATGGCAGTGTGTAAGGTCCTTCGACCACAGCTCTAATGTTTGGAGCAGCCGAAACAACCAACGAAGCGTATATGGGAAAGCAATAAACACTGATTATACAAATTTGCAAATAATAATGGGTGTATTAGGTAGATGTAATAAATAAATATATTCACAAAACGGTTTAGTTCAAAGTCATGAAGTTGATTCTATTTTGAAATGGTATTGATTGAGTCTTGCTAACGATCTTCATATTCTTCTCACATTCCGTACCAACGGTTCTCATAGAAACTACAAAAATCTAGGCAGAAATAGGTATTTGCATTAATATTTAGAAAATGTATAGATATATACACATAGGGCAGTGTTTTATGACTCCGCTGTTGTGACTTGAGTTTTGAATTGTTTGTGTAATAATAATAATAATAATAATAATGTAAGAGTATTTGAAATCATACTTTGTGTTTAAAAACAGATAACCATTTTTATTCCATTTGAATTCTACTAACTTGAGGATAATGCTACAGTGCGTCCATTCTTGAAATGACAACATTTTCGTGATTTACTTTTTAAAACACATTTGCTGTCATTGAAATGGAACACGTATTGTCCGATTTTTGAAAAATATTTTGTAAAATATCTAATGCTATATTACTGATTTGATAATAACAAAATGAAAAAAATTAACTTTAGAGTGATTTAAAAAAGTTTGGACTATCAGTATGATATCCGTCTAAGCATTTAAGAATAATTCTGAATCAAGAAAAGCAAATACACATTGTTTTTAATGTGCATTTAGGGAAAAATATTAGTTGAAAAAATCTTTCAGATTGATTTGAAATCATAATAATATCATTATGAATTGGTTCATGCAATATATTATAGTTTATTGAGGTTATTAACGAATGTTAGATCCTGGCCCATGTAGATCCATTAAAACTTTTCAAAATCGCAAATGAATTGGTACACTATAAGGTACACGAATGTATATAGTATGTATGTATGTATATAGATAAATATATTGCAGGTGGTTTCGAATTATTATTATAGTGTTCATTTACAAAGTGTTAGTGAACTACATGTTAAAGTTTGAAACACATTTGAAAAGCCTCTAAACATATACTGTACAATATCGATTGGAGAGAATTGGTTAAAACAAAAGCTAGACGTTGATGAATGGTTCCGTGGAATTCTTATTACTATTATTTTTGAATAGAACTTTTGAATGTAAATATTATGCATGTTTATAGGCTATGGAGAAACGAGACGTACTTTTATTGGACTTTACACACGTACATACAAACGTCTAATTGTTTATTTGATTCGCTGTGAAAATGAGTGTCTAAAAATATACGTTTAGGTCCTATAACTGTGCTACATCAAATTTTTGCAATTCGCATATATCTTTTTGTTATATTTATATCTGTATGTATATGTATACGAATGCATGGATAAGAGCTTATATTCATAAGAGATGTATTAATTGTTTGTTATATGCTCTCGGGTTTTCCTTTTCCTTTGTCTTTATTCTTAGTTAACAAGTAAAGTGGTTTCCTTTCCGCTGCCCGAGAAATATTAGCTCAAAAAGTTAACAGGTTTGTATCGGTATCAAACATTTTGCAATTGAAAAGTTTGTATGGTGTTTTATAATCTTGCACAATTTTCATTTTAACAAGTAGTTCGATGGTCATAAACGCTTTGTTAACGCTATGCTTGTTTCTCTTTTCCTTTTTTGTTTTTTATCTGACGACCCCTAGGATTCTTCCTCTTTGTTGTCGTTTGTTGGTATGGTTAGTATAATTAATATAGCAGTTGCAGATTTCTTTGTTAGTGTAATTAAACGCACAGAGTCAGAGTTTTTGATTTCCCCGAATTAATTGTGAGGCGTTAGCAAAGTAATTGGGTAGGGCTAGCGCTTCTACTTTATATACCTGGCGTATATGTGGTTTGTTCTGTTGTATTCAGCGATGTATTCTCGTTGGCGGCCACGGGTGCGCCTGTGAATGGATTCACGCCCACACCGGCACCACTGGGTGGTGGCATGGCAAAGACAGGTGGGCCACCGGGTTGGCCACCGGCCGGCTGTGTGGTGACTGGTGCTCCGCCCGCCGAAAGATTAACATCATCGAGATCAACGTCCTCCTGTGCAGAGAGAAGGAATTCAAATTAGAAACTTGTGGCAATTGTTTGAAAGTCGAGTAAAGCTTTTCTCAAATTGTTTTTCTAATCGAAATCGCAGCTTTAAACGTGAAAAACTGTTAAGTGTTTATATCCCGTATTTGAAGAGAATACACATAAATATAATTTAGAAGATTAAAAAAAGGGAAACTCCCTCAACCCTTATCACTATAGATTTTTATTTGTTATACATAGTTATGTATGTTTATATGTATATTTTCTGAAATTCTATGAAAAAACGCACAAATTCTACTTTTATTAACAGTCGTCCATATCGATTAACGAATATATAAATATTATTTTATACATACTTGTATGTATAAACACTATAGGAATGATCGACCAAATGACTTTCTTCTCTTTACGCATTTTTGAAAATTACATTTTGAAATCCTCAATTTAGTTTCAAATTCTGCGAAATATATTTCAAAAACATGGAACCGAGGTTTCTGAACTATGTCAAGATTACAAATAATAAAACTAATATCGGATTGTAAACCAGAATTATCCCAATACATATAAACATTACTAATATTTAAATTCTAAATCGACGACTTTATTTTGAATAAATTCCCCATTTGCCTAAATCCGTAGCCGAAATTCTTTCGACCATTGTATTTGTTTTAAGCAATGTTTAGTCAAAAAGTTTTCGGTTATATAAGCATTTAGAAATACATAGTTATGAACAAAGCGTGTTGTAAGCGTTTAGGGCATTTGTGGCTCTATCTACAAAAGCATTAGATTAATAGTATTCGAAAGTAAAAGTAAAACCAGGTGTACGTGCAAGTAATTTCTAAATACATACTACAATTCTTAGGTATGGAAAATAAAATAAACATTTACCCAAAATTATTATTTACAGATAACACATCGAATGCAAATCAGACCCACTTGCAATGCTTCACACTTTTTTAAAAACTTTGACTTTGACTTTTTTGAAGTGCAATTTTGATTCAAAAATGTTGGTTTGTTGGTTATTTTGTTTTTTTCACCGAAAGTTTTAAATTGAATGGTTGTTGTTGGGTTAGTGAGAGACACATCTAGAGCGCAGTGTTTTGCCAAAAATATCATGCAGAACTCGTGCCGGTTTCGTTTTCTATACTTACAAGACGCGGCTGCTGTCCCAGATTCGGTGGCTGATCGGTGGCCTCTCGATTGCCATCGGCGCGCTATTGGTTCGCATATACGAATATATGCATAGGTATATGCAATAGCACGATATTTAATTGCCACATTGTTTAGTATGAGCCACGCACACGCGCATTTGTGGGTGAGGTAGTACATAGGTGGTATATGATGAATCGATCGAAAAATAGTTTTGAGAATAAAAATAATAAAAAATATATTTTGTTTTTGCATGGAATTGAACATAAGATTTAGAAGAAACCAAACAGAGAACATTTAATAATGTAATTTTGTAACTATTGAATGAAGTCTAAAACAGAAGCAACAGGTTTCAAGGTGAGAAGCAAAAAACAAGAAAATCAATTTCATATTTCAAAATTAGAATTAACAATCGTTCCATTTTCAATCAGTTTGCAATAGTATCGAAATAATTCAAAGAAATTATGGTATGTTATTAATAAATATTTCTGAACGCAATCACAATTCAGCGATTCCGCAGAAATCCCAATTTCCTATTTTCTGAACATATTTTCCAATATACTTTACAATTAATTGAACACCTTCATAAATGTAGCATAACCTTTCTGTTCTAAGCTCTGAAATCTTACCAAGATTTTAAACATATTCGACAACTTTAATCACAATACTGATACAAAATCTCACTTTAAATCATCATTGTATTTTGAGAATTACACGGTCGATTGAATTGAAATTATTATTTCATTACTCTACATCATATTTAAAAGTTAAATGTGGAGACAATTTGAATGTTTTTGATTTGGAAATACCATGAACTTTAACTACATCATATGACCCTCGGTTGGAATCGTTATAAATGTGTTATAAATTAATTATTGTAAGTTAAACAAAATCGTAATGTGATTGACTAAAAAAACTTTGAAGCATTTGATGATTTTCGTGAAGTATTACAAAAACAAATTGATATACAAACAAAGTACTAAAACTTAAAGAACAATCGAAAAATCAGTTTTATACGTAAAATGATCGAAACATTTGTGGGTGTTAGTTGAGATTACCTTCGCCTTCCAACATGTTTTCGCTCAATTGAAAAATCAACAAAACGCACAACTCAAGACGTACTTACCCGGCCAAACAGAACTGACAAACAAAATTAGTGCAATGTTATTGCGATATATTTGACAAAAATAAAAAAACAAATTAGAGGAACAAACAAGAGACAAAAATGCAAAACATAAAACAGGCTGGCGGTTTTGCTGCCAAACTTGCCAAACCACATGCCAAATCATCCAAAAATTGAATGAACAAAGTATAGATATGTATATAAATAAATAAGCACTAAATAAAAGCGCCAGCATATGACTTGTATTTATTGTTAAATGTGTACCAGTTAAGCGATAAGCAGAATGCCATTTTAGCTTAGAGACAAACAAAAAACGTTTTTGACTAAACATTTGCTTCAAACAGTATCTACACAAAAATGTTTGTTGTTGTTTATTTTATGCTCGACGACGACGCCTCACAAAAATCATCAAAATGAGTTCATTGTTTAAAATTAGCAATTAGATTATGTAAATTATAATAAGTTAGGAGTGTAATGTGTCGAAAAAAGCAAAACCACATTGCCATATTATGCGTGTAAAGATGTTGATGTGTGGTAGAGCATGTGCATTGTTAAGTGTTGGGGTTTAGTCATGGATATTGAAATAAAAAATTGTTTTTCTTGTTCTTTGTTGTCTTCTCTAATTTTACGAGCCCTTAACGGCCTGGTGATCAACTGAATTATGGGGAGTTAGTATGCAAGGAATTGGTTTTTTGTTTTGTTTTGCTGTAAACTTATTCAGACATCACTCACATTCAAATGTGAATACTGATCGTGCGACTCGTTCACTGGTGGCTTGAACTTGCCACAGCAGAAGTTGCAACAGCAGCAGCAGCAGCAACAACAGCAGCAGCCCGTCAACACTGTGCAACAAATGACCAGAGCCTGTGTGGAAAGAGAAGAGAATAATGGATTAGCTAAACTCACAAAAGATCTACAGAAGGAGAAATGACTAAGCAATAATATAGCTTCATTTCTCTCAAAATATTCGATTTTTGCTCACCTTCACCGCCGGCGATGTTACCACGAAGTATGCATTCACATTCTCCTCGCCAAATTGCTCGGCAATGTAAAGACCCAGCGATCCATAATTGTCATAAATATTGCGTTTGGTTTGGTCGCTTAATATCGAGTGTGCACGATTGACTTCCTTGAACTGCCAACAGATAGAAGGTAGTTACACTTCTTATTCATACTATGCACTATAGATATTTCATTTGACATTTTTCATACCTTTTCGGCAGCATCAGCGTTGTCTGGATTTTTATCTGGATGGTATTTAAGTGCAAGTTTCCTATAAGTCTTCTTAATATCATCAGCTGTGGCTGTTTTAGGAAGTCCTAAGATTTCATAAAGCGAATCGCCAGATGTTCTGCAAAAAGCGTAATCAATAGAAATGTTTAAAAATATGAAATATATTAATATATGAGGCTGGGTTTCCATTTTATAAATTAAATTCTAAATAAAAAATTTTGTTTACTAAATATTGCACGCTTTTCAACAAACATTTGAACATTTTCAAATAAAAACTGGATAGAGTCCAAATGCTCAAGAAATGATCTGCCACGGGCATGTTCAATATTATTATTTCAGTAACTGAAACATTTTCCAATATTAATTCACATATTCATCGAATTTCAAACGTATTTCAAAACCTTCTGCTTCTTTTCAATATTTTCTGCAAGCCGAAGATCAATCTTACACTAGTTTTGTGCAATAAAAGTCAGGAATACTGCCATCATAAGCCAAAATATTTAAAAATGTTTAAATAAAATAATTACACCATTCGCATTCCTTTTAATTTTTGATGGTTATTCCTTAATTATTTTTATAATCATAATACAATAGCTCCAGTTAAACTCCTGTAACTAATAGATAACAATAGCTTAAGATCAGTACTTTCCAACTGATCTGCCTTCGAGAACAGTCCATTAACCCATTTTTTATATAACTATACAATAGGAAGTCCCTTTAAACTTTTATTGACAGCTTTGTTTGGCGAAACTGATAAACAAAACGTTTTTGGATTTTAATACACCCGCCATAACGATTATGGTGTTGGTTCATAAAATGGAAACGAATTGCTTGTATTTGTATAAAAATGTTGTACAAAAACTATAAAACCTCTGGTCTATTCAGGCAGATAAGATTTCAACTTTTATCAGCACACAAATATTTTGTTATGTACTATATAGTATAGTAGACTATGAAATAGTAAATCGTAGAAAATATAAATATACCAGCAGCTTGTGGCCCTCCATCACCATATTTCTAGATCGGAAAACAGTTGCGGTGAAATTTTTGAACCACTCATCCGTTCACTCGTATTGATTTACTACATTTATTTATTTTCTCAATACTATTTTAAATTTTCTGAGAGCGCAATGCGATAATCGTAAGACACGCCGGGGCGTATCAATGTTTACAAAATATTTACATATATACAAGTATTTATATGTATACATATAGATCGGTGGGTGTACATGTATTTGATGACTAAGAGCCGTCGTCGTCGCTGCTTTAAGTAGACAGTCAGCAACAGACAAAGGAAATGCGAAGTGCGATTACACTTAGCATTCAGTACTTTAAGTACTAGACATATGGATGTACATACGCGTATCTACACATAACGTAGGTGCATGCATACATACTTATATGATACATACGTATACACATACATACATGCTAAGCATATTGGCATTGGACAAACTGTTAACCGGCATCCATATGCTGGAGGGGGACGGAAACGGAAGCAGCTTGGCATTGATGACGCAGTTGTCGGCGTTAAAATGCAGCATAAGATTGCACAGAACCTCTAAGTGGGGGGGGGGGGGGGGCAGGCTTAAACTAAAGCTACATAGCTGGGGGGAACTGGGTGGGTGCAAACAATGGGCAGCAATGGCAACAAAGGTCGCGTGCAATAGAAATGCTAACATAAACAGCTCACAAGTTCGTTTCGTGCAGTTCAAGAAGCGCATGCACTCTGTAAGCATTTTCTAGAGAACAGTTAGCAGTTCATGGGTGGACTGAGCGACGTCTATTTATAAATATGTATGTATATGTACCTGCTCTGCCGCCCTCGATTCTAGCTCAAGCGTAAAAAGCTGCAGAAATGATTTAATCCCTCTACCCCTCCACCACACACCAAACACATTTGTGTGTAGAAGCGAGAAAGCGTTTTAACTAAAGCATAATTAATGCAACATTCTAAAGATTTCATCCACATAATATTAACAACCCAGCAAGTATGGGAGGATATGAGTAAGTCGATGCGTAGCAAGGTTAAGCATTTAAGTGATCAAATGCTGGGACTAAAAAGATATTTATTTATGTTTGAAAATATTTCAACATGAATTTAAATAAGAATATTAGTTTGCCCTGAGTCTATATTATGGTTGGTCTAATATTTCGATCGGTGCACTTTATATTAGACTTTTGTGTATCCAGAACATACGTTTTATTTTATTTTAATTATTATTTGTTTATATTGTTTACAGAAAATCAATGTTAAAAACAAATTGGAAGTTATTGAAATTTTACAGACAAATTTTATTTATGAATTCCCCACAATCACTGTTAACTCTTTAGCATTATCTACCAATCAGTATGATGTTACGGGTTGGCTTTTTAAAGCGGTGCACACATTTCTATCAGAAATTAAAAGTAAAGATAAGGCAGGTTAGGTAATAAGGTGATAAGGAGTTTTCGACGTTTATACGAAAGAAAAATCATAATTTCAGGTATTCAGAAAACAACAATAAACGTATTATATAGCCAGGTTAACTTTTAGAATAATTAAGAACTAAGCAGTGACAAAGTTACAGTAATATTCAGTTCAGAAAAATGTTAGACTCGTTTCCAAAAAAATGGTAGTCAAGTTTGCAATACAAGAAATACAAAATACATCTAAAATTGTACGTTGCATTGAGTTAACAAAAAAAAAAAAGTAATTCAATTCAGACTAGATAAGATAAAATATCCAATTTATAATGTTGGCACTGCCCGCACCATAAATCAATGAAATGGGACAAGTATTTAAGTAATGTGTGCCAACACTTTGAGGACGACACAAGGACGATATAGAGGAAGAAGTTAGAGGCATGCCAAGCAGCACGAAAGTTTACAATCAATCTGTTCTGATTTGTAAGGCATAAGAAGAAGCTTAGATGCATACACAAAAAAGTGTATAGAAATGCACATAGTAAACTTTTTAGGGCGTTTACTTCTAAAAGAAAGAATACAGGAGTCTGACATACGCACGTTTTTACAGAGTACATACTTATGTACTTATTCTGGTTTATGGCCACATTGGGACATCAAATATTAAAGGCAAACGCTATATATAGTGTTACTCAGATTAAGAAAATTCCAAAAATGCAGGTGTGTGTGTGGGGTTCACTTGTTGTTATCGAAAATTCGCTATTGCTGTTAGAACATTTGCAGATTAGCTTGCAAAACAATGGTTGGTCAATGTGGTATTGGCAAGGAATAACCAGACTATGACAAATACCAGTACACCAACACTCGCGCATATACAACAACAACAAAGTCGAGCACACCAACAAACAAGCATCAGCAATTCCCTTGGCCTTGTCCCAGGACGAAATGTTTGTCGTTGTGGCAGCTGCCGTCGTTCTCAGTCGCGTTTGCCTCTCCAAATGTTATGCGTATACTCGCATGTTTGTGTGTGTATAAGTGTCTACTCCTTGTTTATCCTTGTTATCCCAAGGAATTACATATGGCTACGCACTGTCGGTGCTGGCGCTGCTTCTGTTGCTGCCACCGACACAGCTGCCCACGTTGTAGTTGTTATTTTTGCTATAGTCGCTGCTGCGCGGAAAATCAATTAAACGTCAACTGCGGCAGCGCTAACGCGCAGCTGCTACAGCGCACTCGTATTTGTATGCGTGCATGGGTGCGCGAGTGTGCAAAAAGTGTTAAGTATATGAAGTAGGAGGTTTGCTCGTTCGGTTTACTTACGAAAGTTTTCTTTTATCCATGCCACTCATTTTGTTGTGTGTTTTTTCGGCACTATGACAATGTCACAATTGTTATTAATTATTGATTAGCACTTGCAATTCGCACGCACTCACACACACTGGAAAAACACACACCTACTGTGCTCTCTGTGCAGTGTAGCCCAACTGTGAATGTGGGAAAAACTCACTATTTCCAAATTATCTATTCGCTATCGATAGCTTGTACCTATCGAAATCGGCACTTCAGAGTTGCTATAACTGCACCAGCGACAATGTTTTTGCCGTACTTCAGCCCTGGTGGTTTCAAAGGCACACGTGCTTGGATCTAAGGTTTATTACAAATAATTGTCTTTAATAAAATGGGCAAAATCAAAGTCGAACGCACAGATGATGCAGATGCTTCGATTACAGTCAGCGGCGATGTTACTGTAAAAGAGGAGGAGACGTACGACGACAAGCTGCTTTTCACCAACGCAGTTGCTAAGCCTATGGCGAACAAAAAGCTGGCAAAGAAATGTTACAAGTTGGTAAAAAAGGCAATGAAACACAAGACTTACTTGCGGAACGGCCTTAAGGATGTTCAAACACGCTTGCGCAAAGGCGAGACAGGGTAAGTACAGCAGAAAATTATATTGAATTATAAGTTTCAACTTGACAGCTATTCAATTTATACAGCATTTGTATTTTTGCCGGCGATGTAACTCCCGTGGAAATTATGTGCCATCTGCCAGCCGTGTGTGAGGAGAAGGGCATTCCTTATACCTATACGCCTAGTCGTGCTGATCTGGGTGCCGCTATGGGCGTTAAGCGCGGCACAGTGGCTTTATTGGTCCGCCAGAATGAGGAGTACAAAGATCTGTACGATGAGGTGAAGGAGGAGCTGGCTAATCTAATCGTGCCTCTCTAGCTGAGATATATGCAACATTCGTGCTGGTAAACATTCACACCCGCATTATAAATATTGCTCAAAAAAATACACCGATAATGCATATTTACAAATTTGTGGGTGTAAATACTGTGCCAGTGCGATGAGCAAAGCATTTACAAATGTAACTACTTTAGTTAAGCTTTTACTTCGTTAAGTCAAATGTACAATAAATAATCATTTCGATTTTCTATAAACCAAGTCTAATATGTGATTCAAGGATAGCGCACGTTTGTTTTATTAAAGAAGCATCTTCAGTAATCATCGGTTGGAGTTGCTTTTTGGAATCGTAGCTCTTTTTCAAAGCGGCAATTATGTTACAGCTAGTTGTTTTGGATTTCTAATAGTGTTGATAAGTTATGGTTCAAATTTCTAGTCATTTTCATAAAATTAGGGAAAAACTCTTGTTTTTTAAGTCTTTGAAAAGACACAATGTATCAGTTACGATAAGTTCGAATCTTTCCACCCAATTTTATGCTGCTCATCATATGGGAAATAGTATACCGGAAAACAAGCATTTTTTGGCTGTCCCTTGGGGATCTTTTTCTTGAATTTTTTATTATTTTTTTGTTGTTGCGCTTTTTTTGGTTTTTCATTATTTAAAATTTACCGTGTTATACTAAAATTACAGACATACATATGTATATATTTATATAATTTTTTTGTGTCTTATGTTTCTGTGTACTTAGTATTCAAAAGGAGTTTTGTGCTTAGCCAATTAAATGTTTCCCGTTTAGTACTAAAATGTTTACATACATATGTGTACAAAAAATGTTTAATTTACACTTTAATATTTATGAATACAAGTTTTTATACTTTCTTTATAGTATCTATGTATGTATGCGTGTGTTTACAATAAATACATATATATGTAGTTTTTATATTATTCGTACTTGTTTCGATTTCTTTTAACTAAGCTATAGAAAACTTCAAATATATATTTCAGATTTGCTTATTTTATTCTAAAACTAACGATCAATCCAATAAAGTATATATGTAGGTGCAAATTGGGGGCTTCTTATAGAACTAAGGATAAAATTATAATTCATATATAAATAATGATAGCGAACATTTATTTTTCTAAGAATTTAAATGTAGATGTAAACCATGTGGTAACATTTTAATACCAAAGAAATACAAAAATATTCTATTTATATTTGTTATATATAACATTAATATTATAATTATTTGTATTATTTAGCTTCCAAAATCGATTAACAGTTGAAACAAATTAAATTTGTTCTATTTATTGAAAACATATTATATTATTTCTCACTGAAAAACAAGAATATAGATATATTCGTGACTTAAATTGTACAAACTCATTTGAATTTGCATGCCTTAAAAGTAATATTTATGTAGATATATATTCTTTAAATATGTAATTATTTTCAAACATATCAATGAATTTTCTTTATATAAAAACGAAATGTACGAGATGCCTGATTAGACATTAAGAAATGTTAAACAATACCAATACCAAACAAAATGTAATGTTCAGATTGTGTTTCTTTACATAATACACTAATAGAGGCCTTCTTGAATTGATTCATTACTAGTTCTTGATCACACAAATATAAAAAAGTTGCACTCACATTTTCGTAAGTTAGAAGAAAAGTCATTATTTCCATTGTTTTTCACATGTACAATTCTGAGAGGATAATGTTGTACTCAGGCGAGAAACGTCGCAGAAACGTTCCCTTGCGATTATATAATTTGAAGATTAGTGGATCATCAGATCATTTTAGATGCAATATTTTGTATACATAATATTATTATTCCTTTTAAAAGCGACAATGACAGTCCGATAGAGAACTGTGACCTTTTTCAAAACCCAAATGGAACACGCTGCTCTTATTTTACATGCGATTGTACATGCCTAACGCATATCAAAATTCTTTTAGCAGTACAATAATAATTAAATGGTTCATTTTGAAGTATTAACTGGCATCGATTTGAATGCACTCAAGCAGGACTCCATTACATGTAATTCTCTCTGAACATAAATATGAAATTGTGGCTAAATATGCTGAAATTCCAGCTATTCAGTTTTTTGTATCTGAAACTAATTACAAATAATTTGTTCAATATTTGACGACATTGACACGGGAAATTTGAAATGGTATAATATTTTTTACAACAACTATCAAAACCTTACATTAAAAACATATCCAGTCGGGCTAGACGAACAAACACGAAGTTGGTAAGAATCTTCTTGTACAATTTTTATTTGGGGCTTGGATGCTATTTATTTTACAACAGTAAAATAGTTTCCTTTCGTATATAGATAAATACATGCGTTGCCGCTAATTTTAATTATTCAATACATATTAAGCAATATTAATTTTTTCCATTTTTATTTAATTTTTGTTTATTCGTTTTACTAGCTATAAATAATTAGTAATATTTGCATTGCAAGTTAGATGTGCTGTGAGTTTTCGATATAACCATAAATTGTTGCAAAACAAGTGCGTTTCGTTTAAATGAATCGATGCATTACTTGCATGGATGTAATTATTCGAAGTGAGTGCAATTATTCGAAATAAGTGTAAATTATTGGTTATTTTTGTAATGTTGAGTATGAATATGTCAATCAAGTTCTTGTTAGCAACAGTTTCCATATAGGTATCATTTCTTTTAAAGTGAATGGCTTAGAAAACATTTGGTTTTATTGCAATGTGAATGCTCGAGTTAATCTGTTAAAGAGTCAGAATTGTATTGCAAATTGGCAGCAGATTTTTTTATATTGGTAATGCAAAGTAAAGTTCTTAATTCACCAGTTGAAGAGTTCGATCTAATAATTTAGGCCGCTTACAGCTCTTTACCAATTATCGTAAAACTCAAAAGGTGTGTTTCGTATTGAAACGAAAATAAAAAGTGACATTTAAATAAAAGCAAATATTTTAAGTTCAATCTAACACACTAAAAAAACTAGAATGCCTGTATGTTTGGATATCTTGGCTGAATCTCATGCGTACTGAGAAAGTTAATAAATATTGTTAACAGTTAAACGAGCAAAATTCCTAAATAAATATCGATTTAAAATCGACCCTACAATTTCCAAAAAAGTCTGCCCAAATTCCTGTGCGCTGAATAATTCGAACTGGCGCAGCCGAAAAACTGAAATAAAAACTCAAACACACTTGTTTGTAACATTTATGGAAATATTCGTTTAGCGTTTTTTCAATTTTTGTTGTTGTTGGTATATATGTATATATATTGTTTAAAAGATCAGATTTAAATATATAATAATTCGCTACAATTAAATGTTCAGTAAAAGGTTGTCATCCAACTCAACTAACCCAACATTTATGCAGCTTAAAGACTACGCCTAATACAAAAGTTATATGTATACAATTATACTTTCTGAATTACTCTAAGAACTAACAATGCTTGGTGGCATTTAATAATCATTTCTCATTATTCTTTTTTTTTTGCAATTTGTTTTTTTTTTTTTCCTTTTTTTCAAGTTATATTTAGTTTAAAAAAGCTTAATGTGTTCCTTTAACATGTTTATTTATAGTAGGTATAACTATTAATATATGCAAAACTATATATAGTATGTATGTATAGTCTAGAAGTTTGCTGTGGGCCCCCGCTCAGAGCGACGCCCCAACAAATGGGGACGCGACAGGGTCGATGGGCGGCAAAAGGGGTAGGCGATGGTGGCGTGTTGGCTGCTGCGGCATTTGGGGTTCACATTTAAAGTACTAAACGTTAACTAAAGTAGAATTAATTAATTAATAATAATAATAATTCACACGATGAACTTAAGACTACGCATTAAATACGAAAAATAGTTTTAAATTAATTACAAATTAAAACGAAAGCAAAGTAGGGCACACTAAAGTTAAAAAGCAGTTAATTTTTTAGTTTTTTTTTTTTGCAGTTTTTGGACTTTTTTTGCGAATAATTTTGCAATTTTTTTTGTGTTTTTTCGTTTTCTTTTGTTGTTGTTAGATTTGTTTTTAATCCCCCTTTAATGCCACAGCAGTGCGTTGCTGCCGTTGCCGCTGCCGACGTCGACGCCGTCGCGTTCCACTCTCTCACTGAAAATAGTTGTAGAAGCCCGTGGTGGCCTGCCCCAGTTCGCGAATGGCCGCAAACGGATCCTTCTCCACCAGCTCGTTGGATGTGGGCGGAGCGGCGTTTGCCGCCGATGTCTGGACAGCAGCCACTGTGGGCTGTTGTGGCGCAGCCGCCTGCGGTCCCTGACTCAGCACCGCTGCGTAGGTTGTGGCCGAGGACTGATGCTGATGGTTGACCGCATCGTTGGACGCCTGTGTGGGCTGCTGCTGCTGCTGTTGTTGTTGCTGTGGTGGCGCCACCGTGTGGAACAAGTCCAGGTCCGGGCCACCCTTCAGCACGTTGTAGTTGTTGTAAAGCAGATTGTGGCCATGATCGTTCACTTTGTTGTTGTGCTCGGCAACTGTATTGTTGGCAAATAGAGCTTCAATGAGATTTGTGCCCGTATCCAGGCCAGCCAGCAATCCGGGCATGTTGTTGTAGTTATTACTGCCTCCGTTTCCGCCTCCACCTAATCCCACGGCACCATTTCCCATGGCCAGTGCCTGGCGACGATAGAGGGGCACGGAGCTGCCGTTGCTGTGCAGACCACCACCGCTGCTATTGTTACTAAGGCCAGAACCACCGATGTTGTTCTGTCCACCGCTATTGAAATTGCCATATGGCTTGTCATTCAGCAAGGCATTGGCTACGGGGGAGAGCGGGAGAAACAAGAAATACATTTTATAAATACGTTTTCTATAAGGGAGCTAGTACCCAAGACTAATTAGCAAATAACTCAGATACATATTTTATTTTATATATTCAAACCTAATTTTGTTAAACCATTGACGATGAAGTTTTTCTAAGCAGTATCTTCATCTTAAGTCCACAAGCCCAAAATATTTTCTATTAAGGATAAAACGAGATAAAATTTAGGTCCAAAGAACGATTTAACAATTATTAAAAGCACATTTACAGGACGTGGATAAGCTTAATAAAAAAACGCTATTCAAAAATAATACAGTGTGGTTTTGTCGATTATTTTAGACTCCCTTCTCTATAACATGAGGCCTGTGGTGTTAACTAGATTTGATAAGACGCCTGAGTATTTTGTTTTCAAAATGGGAATTTGACGGAATACCCCAACGATTTTGTGCAAAACGTAATTTCCTGCACGCTACCAATATTAAAACTATTATTGCTTTTACTGAATAATTTACATGCAGAAATGAAGTCAGTAATTTTGTTACCAGTTGAGGTAAAATGTAAATGTTTGGATGTTCGTTGGATGGAAAAACTATTCATGATTTATAATGGACTGATCTGTTTTATAGTTGCAATTAATCTCAATGTCGTTTCGTCGAAATTAAAGTTTTTAAACTCTTATAAACTTCTTGGTAAAGTTTGTCGTTATGCTCCACTCACCGTTTCCCATGAAGTTGGGAGTGCCGCCGGATCCGCTGCTGTTGTTGGGTCCATGGGGCGGAGCCACCGAGGAGGGACCGATTACATGGTTGCCATATAGAGACGGTGGTGCCTGATTGCCTCCCAATTGCTTGCCCATGGGGGCAGGCGGTACCGGCTGCTGCTGGCTCTGCTGCATCATTGCAAAAAGACGACTCTGCTGCTGCTGCTGCTGTTGATGCTGCTGCTGCTGCTGTTGTTGTTGTTGCTGCTGCTGCTGCTGCGAGAGCAACAGGTCGGTGCCATTGACGACGCCGTTGCTGAGTGAGGGCCCCGGTATGTTGGCGCCGGACGAGGCCACACCCACCATGCCCAACACATCGCGCAATATGGGCTGAGCAATGTCGTTGGCGCCGTTCATGATCGAGTTGAAGACCAAATCGATTTGCTGGTTGAAGTTATCGAGCGGTGGCGATGCATCCACGTTCGGCGGCTGCTGATTCTGTGGCGGTTGTGGCGGCAGCGGCGGATACATCATGGGATAAGGCGGCTGACGCTGCTGCGGTGGCGGCGGCGCCATTCCATGGGGATTGTTAGGCAGCATGGGGGGTAGTTGCTGCTGCTGTTGTGGCGGTGGCTGCGGCGGTTTGTGCGGCATTTGTTGCTGCTGCTGATGGCCATGCTGCTGCAGAGTAGCCATCACCTGCCGGAGCATGTCCGCAAACTTGTTGGCCGCTTCCTGGCCAACAGTCTCGAGCAGTTTCAAATACCACTTGTACTGCTCCTCCTTGGGGTTGAAGGCCATATCGTAAATGCTGACGTTGGGCGGCAGCAGCTCGTGTGGAAAGCGCAAAGCGCTAGGTGATGGCTGCTTCCCGGCGGCACCGTACATGAAGGGCGCTTGTTGTGGCGGTTGCTGCTGTTGCTGTGGCGGCCCAGGCGGCTTGTCATAGCTGTTGAAAGCAGCGCCATTGTGTCGCATGTATGGTGGTGGCGGAGGTGGTGCACCTTCCATAGGGCTCATAGGACCATTCGGCACGCTGCTGCCTCGCTGCATGGACATTGGCGGAGCTTGTGGGGGTCCGCCATATAGATGATGTGGTGGTGGTGGCGGCGCCTGCTGTTGTTGGGGCGTCGGAGGTGGCGCCTGCCCATGGTTGTAGAGGGTCTTCTTGGCCAGGTAGCCCAACTCGCTGGGATTGCGGAGCATTTGAGAGGCAGCAGCGGCGGCAGCAGCCACAACAGCTGCAGCATTGGGCGGCACCGGTGGCACGCTACCACCACGCAGTGCCTGTCCAGCATTTGGTGGCGGTGGTTGCAGCGGCCCTGGACCTGGACCGCGCCCGGGCGTTTGCTGCGGTGGCTGCTGCTGCTTATTGGGAGGCAATACGCTCCACGGATTCGATTGTGGTGGTGGTCCCCACAAACTGGCATTCGGATTTTGTTGCTGCTGTTGTTGCTGTTGAGGTCCCACTGATGGGCGCCAATGCTGCATGGCTGCATACTGCCCGTATGGGGGCGGCGGTGGTCCAGTATTAGCTTGCGGTGGTCCTCTCATATGCGGTGGTTGCGGTGGTCCACCCGTTGGCGGTCCATTTGGTGGTGGTCCGCGCATACCCATGTGACTGCCGTAGTGTGGTGGCGGTGGTCCGGGACCAGGTGGCACATTCGGTGCTTTACCACCAGCACCACCACTTCCACCGCCACCACCGACAGCTGCTGCAGCCGCCATCATAGCGTGCATCGAGTATATATGTGAGAGATGTTGCTGGTTCGCCATAGCGGCTGCCATCTGATTCATCTGATGGGCGGCGGCAGCGGCAGCGGGTCCCGGACCCAACATGCCCGCAGCAGCGGCTGCAGCATAATGTGGTGGTGGACCTGGCGGTCCATGTGGCGGCGCATGTGCGTTCAGATATAGCGCAGCTTGCTCCCGAAGATACGCCTCCGGCTGCAGGGCACGCGGAACAAATACCGGAGCGAGTGGATTGAGAACATAGGCCCGTTTCAGCTCCACGCCGTCTAGCTGCGAGCGCAGATTCGACCATGTCAGTCCAAAGAGCGACTTGTGCTCATCGCAAATCTCAATGAAGCGCTCCCACACCTTACGACAGCGTCCGATGGAGCAGAGGGCCACCGGATCGCCCACAACAGCGACCAAGGACTGGGCGCGTGTAATTGCCGTATTAAGCAGCTTTGAGTTGCTCAGAAATCCGTAATCTGTGTCGGCATCTCCAATGCTGGCACTAGTGGCCACACCATTGCCACTGCCTTGTGGCAGACAAGTGCGGCGTGTGCGGACTGTGGACAAGAAGACCGCACGAAATTGTTTGCCCTGCACATTCAACACACGCTCCACAGATATGCCACCCATGCGGCGCTTGCGCAGCTCCGAACGTATGCGAAATACCTGATCCGCATAGGGGGTCATGATGCCGATGCTCGTATCGTTAAGCTTGCCCCAGGCGCTGGGCCAGCGTTTGCGGAGCTCTGAAACTCGCTCGACCACCTCGTACACCTCGGCGTTGTTGTAGAAAGCTGTCGAGTTTTTGTCCTGCACATCCTCGCCGCGCGTGGTGAAGAAGGTGAGCGGATAGAAGCGTTCGTGACGTGGCTGCTTGCCGGAGGCCACCAATTTCTGTTCGTAGAACAGCTCCGATGTGAAGCGTATGATGGCCTCGTGAGCGCGATAGTTCTCACACAGCAGGATCTTGCAGGGGAAGTTAGAGGGATAGTGATCGTACAGACGCTCCAGCAGCGATATGTGTAGCTTGCGCTCCTTGGCAAAGGCCGAGAAGAGCTCCGGACTCATCTGCATGTGATCGCCGGCAAGCACAATGCGTGTAGAATCATTTGCTAATGCCAGCGGCATTATGGCCTCGCACTCCATCGCCTGGGCGGCCTCATCAAGAAAGATGTGTGTGAACAGACCCTTGGGTAGTCCCAACGTAGCCAGCTCCATGCTGATGCTCAATGTGACCACAATGATGCGATGCCGCATTATGTCCTCCACACTGGGCCGCCGGAAGTTGCCGACCCCATCGGTAATGCAATACTTCTGCACCACACTGTTTACCGTCGCTGACCAACGTTTGTGGTAATAGACACGCAGTGGCGTGGCCTCTTCCAGTCCCTCCTCGATCCACGGATGCAAATACTCTTTGATGTACAGATCCGCAGCTGAGTTCGAGTGCGTACAAATGAGTATTTTTGCCTCTGGCTGCGCCAACAACTGTTTGATGGCTTGGGCCAGCGTGTAAGTCTTGCCTGTGCCAAAGGGTCCGATGAGTAGAATGGGAGGCAGTTTGATACTCAATGCTGTTGTAATGGCATTCACAGCCTCGCGCTGCTTGGCATTCAATTTGGGCTCACATGAATCGGCCCATTGTTTTTTGGGAGTCCATGGAATGGCCGGTTCCAGTTCAGTTGCGGGAAAGATTAGGCGAAAATCCGTGATCTTATCCACAGCATTGTGCCACTCACAATAAGGCATGCGATTTAGCTGGAATTGTATGTCCACATCGAGCTCGGTGTCTGCCTGCAAAGCCATGGCTTCAACACATTTGGCCGACAGCTTCAGATAGATAACGTTCTTGCCCTTGTCCTCAATCAATGCCTCGTAGACGGCACGTGGTTCGGTGGACTTAGTGCCTGGCTCTTCTGGGGCTGAGATGTAGACACTGCTGCAATTGGAGAGAATGAGGCGGCCCGGCGACGTATCCTCCGATATGTCCTTGCCCAGACGCATTAGGGCAAAAAGTTCGCCCGCCAGAGAATACTTTGCCGTACTAGTAGCCATGCCCGCTGGAGTCAGGATATAATTCGAGGCCACGGTTAGGCGAGTGCGTACATTATAACGCGCGATTTGCTCATAGCGCGCAATCTCCTCAACATAGAGTAGTTCGTGGATGCGTGAACGGTAATTGTTTTGCGTCAAACGCTTCTCCACAATCGTAGATTGCGTGAGCGTGAAGGTGGCCGCCCTTGGACATGGATAACGCTCAAGGAGCTCACGCTCATGCTGCAAATCACTGATGTACGCTTCGGTCTTCAAATGCGTGCCTATTGTCGTCTCAAAGCGCGTCAGCTGAGTGTTGGCCACATCCCAACGCGTCGCCGAACTATTGATAATATCACGCTTGATCTCCTCAATTTTTTCTGCATCGCTGACGGGCAACACATCCACGCATAGATGACGCACCAGCAGTGGTTCTAAGCCCACATCGAAGCAAATGGCTTGACGAAATGTTCCGTAGATTTCCGTATGGAACTCCACGGTAATTTCGTGCGTGTAGAGGGGCGCTGAAAACTCTGAAGTATCGGAAGCTGGCGTTGAAGGAGTCTCTTTTGATCCTTCTTCCACGTGTTGTTCCGATGCATCCTCGCTTACCTCCTTTTTCAAAGTGGTTGATGTTGTTGTTGCTGTCGTTGTTCCTCCCGCTGCAATTGCTGCTGCTACAGTGGCAACCCACTCCTGATCAGACTTTAGTTCCACTGGCGCCGCTGCTCCACTCTTAATGCACTTGAGTGCAAAATGGTTGCGATGCGCATCCTGCAACAATGCCACCGCTCTGAGCGGACGACGCGTCTCCATCTGAAAGAGCCATTCCCGTTTGGATGTCTTGGAGCTAATGCTCGTGACCAGCTCCTGCTCGCATTTAACATCCATGTCGGGCACACGTTCGCACATCACACGCTCCGGTGCTGTCGCTTGTATCCAACGCTCCAGAATCTGCTCCGTATAGGACTTGCCATAGAGCTCCTTTTCACATGCCTTCTGCACACGCATGCGTCGGTATTCGAAGCGCTCCTTCCACTCATTCAGCTCGTCCATTCCGTGCGCCTCCACACACTGGGCGCCATAGTGACAGGTGTGCGACTCCGCATATGTCTCACACAGGCTATATGTGTCCAGCGTATAGCCTCGAGGAGGTGGTCGCCACTTCCAGTCTCGGCCTGAAAGAATTATGTGTAATTATTAACTGTTTTGTTTCTTGAATGATTGCAAAATATTTCACTCTTCAGTGAGTCAGAGATCTTATTGGGAAAGATCTAACTGCCTATCTATCTATAGATACGATCTTTACTCTACACTTCTCCCTTTGACTCACCTTCATCGCTCATGATCACTTTCTGGTGACTTTCGGTCTGGCAGTGCTGACGCAGCTCGTTGCGTGTCTGAAACGTGATGGCGCAGTAGCTACAGGTGGTGGATGCAAGCACCGCAGCGGCTGCCGATTGTTCAGGATCAATGGGCGAATCGCCTGGCGGATGTTTGACGCCTGTGATCTTAATGGCCGACAGCAGTTCGTTGGTCTTGCCCAGACCCGAACTAATGCTAGACATGGTGCTGCTGCTGCCTGTGCTGCTGCTACTGCTGTAACTGCCCGCACTGATGCTACTGTTGCCGTTCTGCTGCTGCTGTTGTTGTTGCTGCTGCTCACGTTTCTTGAGACCTTTATTGCTTAGGAGCTTGCTGTACTTGTCGAGCGGCAAATTGTTGGTGGCCCAATGATCTAGTTTTGTATCCAGTATGGCCATTTCATCCTCTAGACGCGCATGTGCTATCTTCTGCGTTTGCGCTTTATTCATAATCATTTGTATAATGGACCTGTAGCGTTCCAGCGTTTTGGATATGTCCGAGAAAATTTGTTGACCGCACAACTCATTGATCCATTTACTTAGAAAGTGCTCCGCATCCTAAAAAAGTGTACAACATTTTTAGAGTTAAATTCATCGCCAAAGTACTTCAATACTTACCGCGTATTTGTGAAGCTTGAAGAGCGCATGGACCAGCCAGCGACGGGCACGTGACACGCTGGCTACACATTCCGCCTGTTCGGCTAGCAGTGTCAACACCTTGTAAGCATCTGCCAGACAGCCATCGTACTTGCCCAGCTCCAGCAGGCATTCGCAACGTCCCAGTAGGCATGCGATTTGCTGATCCTTTTGCGCTCGCACCGCGCCAGCGGAGGACGTTGTTGGCGGGGCAGCGGCAGCTATTAATATTTGATCATAAAGAGCCACGGCGCGTGCCCAATTGCGACGTCGGACCATGTCGTGTGCCTGCATTTCCTTTTCGGCTGCCATTTTGATGGCGGCCGTTGGAATTTAAAGGATGTATGTACGGATATTTCTAGCTAAGACCCTTTTGAAGTCGTTTTTTATTTAAATCAATGCTGTTGTTGTTGTATTTGCTTGTGGCTATATTCATGCGTATGGCGTCGTTGTCTCGTCGGATTTCGAGGTGATCGTGATGGTCGTGGTCTTCTTTGCTACTCTTTCGCTTACGTTTACTTACTTAAGTTAACAATTTACAATTATAATCAAAGTGCTTATGTATGTAGAAGTTTTTTTTACGCTTTGTTTTAGGGCATTTTGTTTGCTGCAATGAGAAGAGAAAAATCGTTGTCATCGATTACTATACACAGGCCTTATAAATATTAACATTGAGGGCAAGAAACTCTCTCTGGGTTAGTCATTGGAATTTAAAGATTCCTACACAAATAGCTCGAACGAAGTAACTGAGTCTGTAAATGATATATAGAGTGTTATCGAATATGTGGGAATCAGTCGCATGAACCACATTTTCTATTATTCGAAGCTGTGTTATACATAGTTAATGCTTTCTTCTTGAATATTTTCGCTGTAATACGCTCTTTAGTTTACAATGAACAATTCCATAATTATACTCTGTACATGAAATGTACAAGAGTATATTAGGTTTGCGGGAGCTGAAAAATGTAACAGGCAGAAGGAGGCGTGGCAGACCCCACAAAGTATATATATTATTGATCAGCGTGACAAGACGAGTCGATCTAGCCCTGTCTGTCTGTCTGTCCGTCTGTCCGTCTGTCCGTCTGTCCGTCTGTCCGTCCGTATGAACACCTGGATCTCAGAGACTATAAGAGATAGAGACACCAAATTTTGCACGAAGATGCGTTATGTGTGTATTCTATACGAGTTTGTTTTATTTTTTTGATTTTCCCCCCCACTTCCCCCCTATGGGGGTTTTCCCGATTTTCCATTCGTATAATCGCCTATATCTCGGAGACTATAAGACCTAGGAACACCAAATTTTAGTCCCAGATGCCTTATGTGAATACGCAGAAAATGTATATTTTGGAATTCCCCTCCCTCCCCCCTCTACCCCGCAAATCGTAACTCCCGTAATTCTTGGAATTTCGAACTAAAATTTTGGAAATACCCCCAGTTGGTTATTATGTGTCCGTATGCCAAATTTCATTATGATAGACCGATTTAACAAGAAGTTATAGCCATAAATATATTTGCTGATGCAGCGCTGCTGCAGCGCTGCTCTAGCGCTGCCCGCGGCTGTTGTTGATGTTGCTGTTTGGTTGACTGCGAAAATGCTTACACAGACACGAATTGATGCGCATAGGCATACATACACTCACACAGACGCAATTGCTATGTAAATGTGCAATTATACACCCTTTACGTGAGTTCGAATACCGAGAGAGGTAAAATCGATCGAATTTTGTTTTTTTATTTTCTTAATTTTTTTTATTTTCTATAATTATTGTAAACATATGTACAGAGTATTTCAAAGTCGGGACACCCGACTTTAGCTTTTTTACTTGTTTTTGAAATAAGTTCAACAAAGTTCTGCTGTTAATAGTATTTGTTTAAAAAGAAAGCAAAGGCTCATATGTATGGATTGTAATGACATACTGCGCGATGTGGTACCTGAATCCGAAGATTTAATATAAGCTGGATCTGAACAATAAAACTCTTCTGTTTGCAATAGAAATGAGACTATGCTTCAATTAAATAAGTAGCTTTAGGAAATTGTATATATTAACAAAAATGTTGGTTTTGGTTGCGAGTAATGCACAATTTCGTAAGAACGAACGATTTCACTTGCTGGGCGTTTCATTTAGTGGGTGGCACACAACAATTCGCGCTTGTATGTGTGTGTGTGTCGGCCGCACGCACAATAAATAGCACTTCTTGAACGCACACTCACGCACAAATTATTTGCAGCCATAATTAAAAGCAATTTAATTTGTTTTTGTTTTCTTTCCTTACTGTGGCCGCACACACTATTGTTTAATATGTTTTTGGGGTGCCCGATGTTGTTGTTATTCGTTGCCTGCTTTACACAGCATTTTATTTATAAGCGGTAGCACACAGACTGGCTCTTGTATGTGTTGTTGTTGCTTTTGATACTGCTGGTTTGCCTGCAGTATTATTTACATTTACACTTTAACGAGTGAACTGTTCATTTTTCACTTGTAAGGTGATATGCACATGCACACGTAATAACAATCAGCACAAGGCCTATTTTATAAACAATATCTTTTGATTACTTTAAATGCGGCATTGTGCTTCAGTTCTTTCATAAGTTTCAGTTCGCACTAAATTTTGCTCTCAGCTGCTCTTGCAACTGGCATAGGCCGACGACGGACAACGAACTCTCCTATTACGCAAATTGCTTTATTATTGTTGTTGAAGGACACGTTTAATGCATATTTCGCATTCTAGTAGTGCAAGTTGGCATTATGCATTAATTAATCAATTACTTTTCTATTAATTTACCGTGTATGCTTGTTCGTGCCAGCGAAATGCACAGGCAGCAGCCACGGTTCGCAGTGTTGTGAAATACGAAGGGTAATCGTTACCGAGTAGTTGCACAGGTAACCTTTACTGACCAAAATAAAAATGGATGTTCCTTAAAGTTAGTAGCTCTTTCTAAATATTTCCAATGTAAGTCTTAAACACTGCTTAGCGTAAAAGCATTTCAAGTATTTGCTTCGTGTTTCTGGTGGGCCAGTAGTCGCCGGAAAGCGAAAAGTGTAAGCGAGTAGACACGAGAAATGCACATCACTAACGCAAATGACAACCGCATAGAAATACAAACACAAAAGTAAATGCACAAAAATATTTCAATCAGCATTTTCGGTATATGCTGCCCAAAGCGAAATGTCAAATTAACAGCCCGTGCGTTTGTTATGGCCATACGCAATGATTTTACCGAAATACATACATAATGCACACGCATGTATGTATATCGAGCCTTTCGCAATGGCCATTACACCAAACTCGGGTCTTGGCCCATTTTTCTACCCTTTTGTGCAGAACAGCAACAACAATAGCAGCAACGAACAAGAAGCAGGCGAGCCCAGCAAGCGAGCAGCTGTGGAAATTTGCAAGCGATGGAAAAAATTTTCACACGCGTGCATTTATCGATGTGCTTGCTCAAATGTAATTACCTTTGCACTAATTGTTAATTACACTAGTTACATTTTACATGGTTAAGCACGAAATTATGAGAAAAAATGCACATCCGTCGAAAAAAATGTTAAAAGTAAGCTAAGAAATCGACGACGAATGTGGTGTGAAGGCGAAATTCGCAAAGTACTGTCTTAGTGCTGCCCATAAACGTGCACAAGTGCTACCCAATCGCACAAAGTTTAACACTTAAAAAGCACCAATGGTTAATTTTCTCATTATATTAAAATACGCTTAGCAATGCTAGTTTGACAATACAAGAAGAAATCACATATTCCGCCACGAACACAAAATATAAAAGCGGGTCGGCTTACAATTCTTAAATACACACAAAACAAAAATCATTATTTTCGAAAGAATTTCTTCGCTATCTGGATGACCTGCATTGCCAGTTTCAGCTCCTTAGCCCCCTTCACTCCCAACGCCTCCAAATCCTCCAGTGTCATCTGTATAAGCACATCAATATCAATTTCCTGACGCGTAAAGAGCTCCGTCAAGTGACTATTTCCTGTGCGATTGAGTAGGGAACGCACACGGGGACTCAATGTCGGATGCTCCACTGGTGAGCCCTGTTTGAATTCTCGCCCACTAGTAGAACCATAGCTGCAGCCCGTATCTATGCGGGTGCTACTTCCGCTGTGACCCATTATATTCGATATTGATCTCATGCTGGCAGTTGTCACGTTCCTTCCAGTTGTGCTCCCTGTGCTGTTGGCTGTACAGTCTTGTGAAATTGTCGACCGTGTTCGGCTCCCAGAGGAGTTGGCCGATGAGTTCGGTGAAAAAACCGATCGCGTTCGCATAAAATCTTCCGAAAACCTCTGAGGGGTGCTGGCCCTGCGACGTGATGGTTGTTGTTGAGGATGGGCTGAAAGTAGCCGACTAGGTTTGAGACCACGAAATGAATTTTTCCTTTGCATATGTGGCTCGGCGATGGGCGTGTTCGATCCAACGCTATCGAAGTTAAAGGAGGGTGTAGCTAGCGGCGTCAATGGGGTCAGTGGAGAACGTGGATCTATATGGATATTTAACAATAGTTTTATTGGATTAGAACTTCAATCAATTTTAAGTTACCTCTATAAGCGCGATCGTATCGGTTCATGGCTTCAAAAAAAATCGTTAAACAAAAATAAAAACGGCACTCAACAAGCACGAGATAAAGTAAAATGTGATTACAGAATTAAGGTTACAAAATGAAGTCACAATCATCAGCGCTGATTCGGAAAGTGAGGAAGAGCAAGAGCGAGAATGGGATAAAAGAGGACCAAAGCAGAAAAAATACTAATAAGAAGGGTATTCCTAATAACTATTTAAGATATTATTTTGTTCAGAAAAACCAAAACCAAAAATATATTCCGCCCTCAAAAATAAAATCGGAGCACAAGCCTATGTTTGTCTGTTAACTGAGAACAAAAAAAAAAAAACAAATAAATATTATAATCTGCCCATGAACTAATTATCACTAAACGATTTATTGCAATTATAACCATTCGAAAAATGCTATACGATTTTAGGCTAAAATCAATTATCCAGAGCATAAATAAAATATATTCACCACAAAACGAGCAGACTTTACACATAGTTATAATTTCTGTAGAATCGGAACACTAAGGGCTTGCAAGCTACAATACCTATATATTATAGTAAGATAAAAAAACTAGGAATAGAATGATTTTATTTACATAGCAATTTTTTTTATAAATATGATTGAGAAGCAAAATTCTATGTTCAGCACATAGGGCATGTTTTCTTATGAACATCAAATATTTATAACATAAGACGATATTTTTTTTATTTAAGTTGAATTTTGGTTGCAAAATTGAGATTAAAATTTTCACTGTTCATTTAAGCTGCAGAAATAGAAAAGATAACAACAATGGTAGGCAAAGCAAAAAGTAGGCAAAGCACAGTAAGCATTATTTTTAGCTTGCTTACTAATAATAATAATTTGTAATTAAATTATAGGATTATTGCTAAACTAATAAAAGTCGATGAGGGAGATAGATTAAATAAGCACGATTAGAATTTTGAGTTCCTTCGAGTTTTAAGCGTTTTTCATTTTCAATTGTTACTCTAACAAAAGCCGAATGATTAAATTTCGATTAAGCTTGGAAAAAATGGGTGCGTTTTCAGTAGAATGCTGGGCTATACATTGAATACGTATTTATTGTTTATTTTTAAGAATAACAATAAAAACTCAATGAACTTTAAAATGCGTTTCAAAATTGCAAATTGATATTTTATGCTAAAAAATTATTCTTCAATAATCACATACTGGGTTCAATAATCTTAAATGAAAATAAAAACATCACGTCTATGCATGAAGATATTAACATACCACATATATATGCATAATATGTACACATTCAAGCCAATATTTTGATTTGTTTTTGGTTCGTTAAATTGCTTAGCTTCTAATTAAAGCGAGTTTTTCGAGTTGTCAGGTATCTTTTAACATCGATTGGCTTATTGTGTCTCGATTCTCAAATGAATAAAAGATACATAAATAAATAAAGTAATAAAGTGCACATACTTGTAAAGTAATCAAGGACTGGGTTTCAATTTTAATGGATATTAACACGAACATTTCAAATACAATTCATCGAGTTGGGCCGGTTTTAGTGGGTGTTTGCTTTGGATCCGGTACTGTGAAGCGTTGAGCGTGAGATCATTCACATACATATATGCATATTGCACAAAGAACATTTATTAAATAAAATACAATACATATATGAGGTTGAACTAATTTTTTGTACAAATAAAAAATCTCAATATTTACGATTCTGGTATCTAAGTATTCAAGAAGGTTTATTTTAAACTCTATGTGAACTAGGCTTTTTAAGATGCGCGATTTTTTTAACAAAATGTAAACCGCAAAAAAGATAGCAGTTTCATTATTACAATAATATTACTGATTTATTTATTAATATATTTAAGATTCAATTTTAATGCACTTTAGCAACATGTATCATGTATCATGTAAATATTACAATCACAGTGATTAAAACAATTCCAATTAAGTATTTATTATTGGACTCAAAATACAAAAATTAAAATAACTTCACATTCTAGACTGGGCTTCAATTTAACATAAATAATCTCTAATTATTCATTTAGTCTAAATCACTTCACACGTGCACATAATTTATTTAATTTGATGAGTCAGCACCTAAAAGCATGCTACATACACCCATTAATGATTCAAAGCAACAGCAAATTACAACCAACTAGTATTGGCGGCGACAGCAACAACAACATATGACAACGACTGACAACCACCTGTTTGACAACATTTGTTATGGCTCGTTGCTTGCCTGACAGCTTTTTGCTTTGGTTTTTTTTCTTTTGCTTGCTTTTTGCTTGCTGGCTTTTTGCCCGACAAAAACAACGACGACAACAAAGAATAATGTGACTTTGCTTTTGCGTTTTGCTATTGCCATCGCTATCGCTTGCGTTTTATTGTCTGTCGGCCTATCTCTTCATTCTGTCTAGTACTTATGTATGTATGTGTGTGTAACTGTGTCTATGCCGCTGTCGACGTCGACGTTGCCATCGCCGTCACTGTCTTCTCTGCATGTGTGTTGTTACCGGCTTTTGCCAAAAACAGCTGAGCTCGTTCTCACAGCTGCTCAATGTTTATGTTTTTTATGCGATAGCCTTAGCGCTTGCGCACTGCGTACAGCCCACTATCCACCGTCTCCCACTGTTCCCCCACTCAACCGACGAACAGCACCAACGACTGGCCCCCGAAGACCAACAGCCGAAAGCCGAGCTTCGGCTGTCGCATTAAAGGGGGGACGAAGTACGGCGCATATAAAAAATGCGCTGCTTCATCGCTTGGCGTTTCAGTCGTCTAACGGAGTTCAACGTCGCTGGGCAACAGTTTTTGGCAACGAGGCTGCTGCGTTAAGTCGTTTTTCGAAAAATCTGTGAAAATTTTTCGCACGCCTGTCGCAAACCAACCAACTAACCAACCAATAAATAATACCGCTGTAAATAGCATAACCAAGTGCGTGGAAAATTATGTGTGCGTGAGAAAATTTTATGACGCATACTATACCCGCATAGGTGTAATACCGCCAACGAGTTGTCTTTGGCAAAAAAAAGTGCGCAAATATTTTGCAAGTAATATATAGTACGAAATTTTGAAAATTATTCGGAAACATCCAATAAGCTGTTTGGCAACCCAATCCGAGTTTAGTTTTTTGCGGTCTTCTGTGTTCTCAGACACGCCAAAAAAGTCAGTGAAGTGTTAAAGAAACAACAACACCAATAATAATAATAATAATAATACTTGCGAAACTCTGTGCTACGCCTCAACAAAAGAACTTGGGTAGGTTTTTTCTTCTAGTTGTTTTTGTTTGATTACTTCATGCAAATTGAATTAAGCAATTAAAAAAAATAATTTTTATTGTGCTGTTTGTGCTTAGATTTTAACGTTATTAATATTTTTGTTTTGTGCCTGGCGGCCAATTCCCCATCCTGCCAGTTCCCCTCGCTCGACACACACACATTTGCAAAACTTTGCCAGTGTTTACCAGTTTATATATATATGTATATGTGTGTGTGTGCCATAATTAAAATTTACCAATCATCAGTTATTGGAGTTGCGATCGCTTTGCAGTGCGACTACTGTTGTGTTTGCTGTTCATGTTGATGTTGTTGTTTTTGTTGTCGTTCCGTTCTTGTTGGTCTTGTTGCAAATGTTTGGAAGTTGCAATAGTTTGTGCTTCCTTCTGTGCTATTCAGTGCATATGAAAATGCTTCTTTTTTTGGCGTATGCGCGCGCAAATTCAAATAAATAAAAATACGAACTTCATAAAAAGTTTTTTAATATCGAAAAGCGTAGGCAGCACTGGCATGACGTCCATGTTGCGAAGTGCTGGGGAAGGGAACGGTGGGTGTGGGCCACACACACACACACACACACACACACACACACACACACACACACACACACACACACACACACACACACACACATGCATACGCATTCTTATACATATGTATATCGAACTGGAACTTCAGTGGCACTGCATTGGCGCACGTTTAATTGAACAACAAAAACGCAACAACTGCCACGGCACAAACAACAATAACAACGGCAATAGCAAGAGCTACAACAACAACAACAATAATGACAACATCAACAACAATAAATATGTTGAGCAGTTTGTTGCTACTGTTGTTGCTGGACTTTTTAATTTGATTTGTTGATTTGTGTGTTTTTTGCCTTTAAATGATATACAAAGGCATATAGGCCGAGCTTAGTTCGTAGATATATACATACTTGTACGTACTTACTATTATACGAGATCTGTTCAAGAAGTGTTTGATCTTAGCATTTTAATTACAGCTGTGTGGCTCTCTTCTACAAGTATTATAGTGTTTTTGAGCATTTGTTTATTTACAAGTATTTACAACCCTAAATTGCAATAGCAATTAGGCTATTAATTATAAGTATATACTCGTAGCGATATTATGTAGGAAATTTTAGAGAAAACATCTTTGTATACATACTAAATGACAGAATTGGTAGGCTTCATAAGTTTTGAAAATAGAGAGTTCTTAAATAATCGTTTGTTTTTAATTAGGGCGCCCAAAATATTTTGATTTAATTTATCAGAAATTTCACATTTCCTCAAATTTTTTATTAAATTTTTCAAAAATTTCCTAATTTAATTCTCGATTTGCCAGCGCTTAGGTACTTGGTATGAGAATCGCAGAGGAGGGCGCCCACAATATTTTTATTTAATTTTTCAGAAATTTGAGAATTGAATTGTAAAATATAATTTAATTTTTTAGTAAATTCACAATTTAATTCTCAATTTGCCAGCGCCTAGGTACTTGGTATGAGAATCGCAGAGGAGGGCGGTCACAATATTTTAATTTAATTAATCAGAAGTTTCACAATTTAATTCCACAATATTATTTATTTTTTCACAATTTTACTCTCGATTTGCCAGCGCTTAGGTTGCATGAGAATCGCAGAGGAGGGTGCCCCCAATATTTTTATTTAATTTTTCAGAAATCTGAGAATTGAATTGCAAAATATAATTAAATTTTTTAGTAAATTCACAATTTAATTCGCGATTTGCCAGCGCTTAGGTACTTGGTATGAGAATCGCAGAGGAGGGCGACCACGATATTTTTATTTAATTAAAGATATGCTCCCATATTTAAACAAAACCCAAACTTATAAAATACATAACCAGCAACGTCTTAAACCACTTGATATTTTACAAAAATCTAAAATTAAGGAAGAAAAAAAAAAAACGAAAAAAATTCTGACTTAGAGAAATAATATTCCAATAATATTCTTTGGTTCCCATAATTATAATTAAGACTTCAGTTTTTTGCTTCACAGAAGATCTTGCATAGCCTGGTATAAAAGTTGCTTTGCAAAAGAAATACAAAACAACGGAAATTAATATTTCAATACTCAGTCGCTATGATTAGTTATAAGTATGTTCTTTCCAAAGTCTCCAATCAATTTAAGCAGCGGATAAAATCAACAACACTTTCAATAAAACGAAAAATATTGCATGAGAGAAATATAGGCATGTTTAACCGTTTTCTAGAAGGAGTGACTGGTTCCGATTTATACGCATTGGATAGTTCGAGTTGGAGCTAAAATGGGACATTAGAAACACAATTTGTCCAAAAAGAAAGTGCTTTTCCATACGCAAGTAGGCCTCGAACTATTGTCGCATTCACCATATTCTCCAGATTTCGTCTCCACCAATATTTTCATATTCCTAAATATGAAGAAGTAGTTCTCCTGACCTGCATTAAACGAGTAAATTATGTTTCAAACAGACTCCTATTTTGAGGTCCTTTCTAAAAGTATTATTTGAAAGGCGTGGAAGCACGCATATATTTTAGAATAAAACAAAAAATATTCTATTTGTATTGGATTCATAAACTCACATTTTTAGATATTTGAGTTTGGGATGTACGATTAGTGTCCCAATTAAGACACATTCAGATAATAGACCCCACTGATTATAGATATTTCTGAAAAATATTGGAGAATTTAGAAAGAGGCTGAATAGATAGTTAGTACATATAAGCACTTAAATAGCTATTGTAAATATATTTTGGCATATAAGCTTACTTTGTCTACACAAACGATTTTGTGGAAAAAAAGCTGTTAAAATTTATCAAATGGTGTTTTCGCCAACAACGGCAGTTTTTTGCACTTCTCTCTGGCATTGATGTGCAATTTTTTGCACTTTTATTGCAAATTTCTCGTTAGTTTGTTTTAATTTGAAAATGCATTTTAAAAGAGCCAACAACTTGTGCTCAAAAAAAATTAAAAAAATAAGAATAAATTTCATTGCCAAAGGACACAAAAGTTGATTGTTTATTGTTGTCTAAAAGAACATTTTGAAAAAAATGCAATACCAGCAAAAATTTCTCATTTTATAATAGCATTTAAAATAAATCAAAGCAAACACAATGTTGCAAAACACAAAAAGAAGAATGCAAAAAAAAAACGTACAAAATAAAAGTTTCCCAAGCTAGCCAGCGTATAAAACAACTATTTTTTATTGTTGTTTGAAATAAAAGCAGAGCTTAACACAAATACTTATGCAGGCTTTTATGCTTGCTGCCCGTCCTTCAAGCTTTATGCAGATTTTTATGATTTTAAAGCATTTTATTTCATTGCGTCTGCTGACTTTTTGACTAAGTTGTAAGATAAATATTGCCCAGCAAAAGATACAAAAAAAGAGAAGACAAAATGCCGTAAAACTTTTTGACTTATGTTTTAGCTGATTTGAAGGTTTCTGCTTTTCTTTGGCCTTACCACAAAATATGCAAATCGGCATTAGCTTCAAATGAAATGCTCGAGTGCCTTTCGATCCAATACAGGCATTCCTTCGTTAGAGTTAGAGTGAATTAATTGAATCGGAATTAGCTAAACCGACTCTTTATAAGCAGATGCTTTTCTCAGCCACATACTCGTACATGCGAATACTTGTACATCAGAATCTGGAATACCATTACTTGAATTAATAGCAGGTTTCCAAGTGCAGCTGTTTGTGTCTTTAATTAAGCAGAGAGCTGCTGCCCCATTTGTACGTCGTTGTGTACTTGAACTTGACATCTTAAACCTGTTGAGGTCTTACCCTAGCAATATATTGAGAATGGAAGCAAACGATGCATCAATTAAACCGGTTCTCATTCGGGTTTTTCTCTTTCAGCTCATAAAATTGTGCGCATTTCTTTGACATTGAAGCGCACTCTATAAAATGTAGATTCTTATGGAAAATTTTGTATTTCATCATTTTGCATGATTGTTTAAATTCGAATGATTGATTTGAAATGCATTCACTTTGGCAAGAAAGGGGGTAAGAAGTATTAATTACATTTGGTCGAATTTTAGATATAAATTGTTGTGTTTATAGTTGAAAAACTTTGGGCAGATGTTAGATAGAAAGTGTTTGGACAGTCTATATTTTCTCATTCCGTACCGAACATTTCGTTTTTTCTTTGATTGAAGTTGCTTCCTAGACCTGATTAAGTAACGCTATGTTGCGAAAGAAACTTTTAACAAATATGTATCTACAAAAAAATTATCTTTGCTACTCATTAAATGTATTTTAAGAGCATATTCCAATACCTATGTTGTATATATATGATCCGCAAGACGAGATGAATCTAAATCGCAATATCTGTTTAAATCATTACTTCTTCCATAATTTTTGAGTCATCTCGATGAAATTTTGTGCCGAATTTTCTTTTTGATTGATACAGATAATAAGTCGAGACAGTCCGTGTCAGATCATACAGATTTTAAAGAGTTTTTGTATCAAAAACGTATTTTATTCGAAAAATATGGCAACCAAATTGATTTTATAGAATATTGCAGACTTACTATGTATATACGATGGCTAGCGAAGTGCTTTGTGAAGAAAGATAAGCTAGATAACTTTTTAGATTGTTATATGTTAGCAAACTTCTTCTGATGATGATGATGATGAATATTTTGGCATGACTTCATTTTTCATTTTTGTGGCACATCATAAATAAGTTGATATGGCAATATACTAGTATATAGTATGTTCATATAAGATATAAGCCCTTGTACATTGAAGCTTAATGGACATTCTAAATTGTGAAAGTCACTTCTAGATATTTATATATATACATACATACATAAGTTTTTAAATTCTGTTTGTTTTACTTGGTTATTTGTTGATTTATTTATGCTGCTTTTATTTGTACACTAAGATATTTCTTTTTGAAATGTGAACTTGAAAGTTTGGATGCTTCTATTTGCAGAGCTTGAATTTTTACAAATTTTGTGATACCTATCAGACTTAACTT